GCTTAGGTAACACGAGATTTCATAAAGAAAATCTATCGATACTTTAATAACTATTTTTATTATTTTCCGACAGTCAGGATACTGTAGGTTGGAGAAAACATGTAATCAGAAATTATAAAACATTATATAAAAAATACTTTATTATATTGTAGAGTACATGCCACTCTATTTTGTGGTATGTTTCTTAACAAGTAAATAAAATGCAAAGTTAATGTACATGACATCCATAGTAATAAAATGAATGTAAAAAAAGATACGTTCTTACGATGTTATAAATTATAACGTGATATTTGAAAAAGATTATGTCTACGAGATATTTGAGAAGCGACGATTGTGTAGACAGCGCGCAGTCGAGGGAAGCCCTTCGGAGCCCGTAGCTCGTAGCGTGCGTAGCGCGTAGGCGGACTGTCTACACAAAGCGGGCGGGGCGATGACCGCTATTCTTACTATATTTTACTACAAGATTTTTACCTTGAACGAGATAAAGAAATGAAATTATGTAACATTATTAGAAAAGACGTAAATGTTAGACAGGCGTTATTTATAGTCTCTTAGTAGATCATTACATTCTAACGATCTAAAGTAGAGATTAAAAGATCATTTGAATTTATTTTTTTACTAAATTAATTGGTCGATATAAAGAAAAATGCATTAATTAATTAAGAATATTTTCCTTTAAAATAGTTCAAAGCTTTTTACTTAAATGAACAAAAAGTACGTATATTCTCAGCGTAGTTTAATTAGTATGTCTGTAGTAGCTAAGCTCTACGACAAAGTGTCACTGTAAACATCCACGAGAGTGATAATAAATTGTCTTCAGTAACAATCCTTTGAAACGAACTTTCCTTTTACGAATGATAAAAGCTATTCCAAGCTCTTTAGCGCTTGTTATTTTCTTTTAAGTTCCAAGATACATTTGTTACGATGTTCGTGAGATAGAATAAAAGAAAAAATTAAAAAATCTCCTCCAAGTATTTGTTAGCGGAACAAAGTCGATGAACCATGGGGAGTTCGCGCAATGCAATGAACGCGGAGTTCCCAGCTGGCACTATTCCACTAATACGATTTCAATTACAATCTGCACCGGACAGAGTTGCGGCGCCGCGTTATGTATCCGCCATTGTGAAATACTAGCGAAAATATTATATCGCACGGACGAAATCACAATATAGCGGAGAATTCAATTTATTCGCAAGGATAGAATGCGATACGAGCAAAATTTAATTTGCTACAATACGTATGTGATTGGTTATTTTTATATCTCTGCTTTTTATTACTGAATTTTAAGATGTTATCTACTCTATTACTTTATCTAGAAGGGAAATAATACTGTATACTATACTAATTTTACGATATTCTGAGAACTCTTATTTTCTAGGTGTTTCTTCTTGGGCTGATCGACCCACGAATTAATCGATCTCTGGGATTTTTTTACCGTTTTGCTGATTTAATCCATACGATTAATCGACTCAACGAGAAACACTCTAGTTTTAAATAAACATAAGAAATCGGTTATTTGATCATGAATTTTTGATAAAAAAAAAAACAAAATAAGTTCATAGTAAATATAAAAATTTAAATTATAAACACAAATTCAAATATAATCCTACAATATATCGTTGCACATAATCTGTATGCATAGTGCTAAGAGATTTCATTGAAATTTAAGGAAATTTAGCGTAATATGGCGAGGTATGCGTGACAGGGAGGGGGCAGACCGCATGTTCATCGGGACGCTCATATTGCATTATGTCACACCCACCCTCAGTTAGCCACCCCCTCTCCCGGCGACCGCAACCCCCTACGTAAACATTGAACTCCTCCTAACAGAGACGTCTCTCGGAATACTTGCTCGCAACTGTGCAAGAAGTGCATCATGTGGAGACGAACTATTGTGTATCTAACATATTGATATTATTAAATTTATAACAAGCTTGCTTAATAAGTTTTCATAAAAACACTTTACGTAAAAAGTTAAAGTAACTATATATTTTTTTTACTTAACACGTTTAGTGCGTTATAGGAAGTTTTTCGTTTTCAGCGTTTACTTAGGTTGATTAACTTCATTCCCATATACAAACAAAAGGGATAACTGAATTCTTGACGTTAGGATAAGTATAGCGTTCATGCACATGTGTTAAAATTTTTATTATTACTTTTATGATGGAATTTAGATGACCAAGCGGCATGACTTTTCAACAACCACATAAGTAAAATATGCGCAAAATTACTGCAGGATTAAACATGGTTTTATAACAAGAGGTGAAAGAAAAATGAATGTGCAATAACCAACAAAAGCTTTGTATTATTGAAGAATCTTTATCGGCTAGTCGGTGAGACGTCTTATTATAATATCTACGTAGCATTGCTACAAAACGGCGGTATCATAATAAGTTGCCAACAAGGCCTCAGCCGAAAGCGCTCTGAGCTTAGCTCTACAATAAAGTTGAAAAATCGAGGGGATTGCTCCGCTACGGGCGTCGCGCAGGAAAAAAAACGACGCCAACATTTCGCACTTAATGAAACTGTAGCTGAAATAAAATAAAAGAATTGCGTATTTACGGAGTAGCACTAAGTATTGTTTCAAGAACACAGAGCTTTTCATCGCGGCTCTTAATGGGGGCATTAAAATGTTTGTAAAGGTGCCCTCTCACAAGTTAACTAATAAATGTCCATTCTACGTCACTGCATTCAATGATTAATTTAATTTAAAAACATATTATAAAAACATGTTTATGATTTATCGATATTATCATTCTTTATGATTTTCATCGTGTTTGATAAAAAGAGTTGAAAGCAGTAATAGCTGAGCACAGAAGACAAGTTTTAATTACTTCCTGCGTACTTTACCGAGCTTGTTCCTACGGGAACATTTCGTAGAGCGCAACTAAAAACTCTCATTTATAAACTGTGTTTTCAGTATCTTTTTACGAAGTTTCGAGCTAACTACATTAATCCTGTTAGAAAAGATAACTTAATATTCACTTTATAAAAAAAAAAACAAATTAAACTGAAATCAAAATAGGTGATGTTACTTGACCGAGGTGCTACGTTACTTCTACAAGATTAGCTACAAGCGTAGCTGTTACTGGTTAGTTTGCGTGTGTGAGCGTAGCAAACTCGGCTTGATTGCCCGCCATCGCCGTGAACTCGACGTGTTACCAGCTAGGGCAATATTAAAGCAATTACTTCGTCACTTGGGACACGTTCTAATTATGTACAAGTTGTTTACTTAAATGCTCTATGATTTAGTTGTAGTTTTTTGTTACGGTTAACGTTAAGTTTATCGATTTGATTATGACTTGTTTTAGTATAATAGAGAAAAAAATGTAGTAAGTTAATGAAGTGGACATAATTTAATTATTTTTTTGTGTCTGGTATTTATATAATAGGACCGAAAAGTTATAATCAACTTTTATTTGTTTATAATAATTTGTTTTATATAGTAACAGTCTTTTATTTATATGCTTTATATTAACAGTTGAAAATGAATTAAATAGCGCGTTTCCCGCGCATTTAATTCGATTAATATGAGAATTAATGGACAGTGAGTTGATATTATAATATTTTGACCATAAAGTGTTAATGGTAAATATTTTAAGGTATATTTATTGAATATATACTTCATTTGTAAATAACATGTTTTACAAATTGCCCTTAACTATACCAAGTCGAGTGGTAATCAAGGTAGCTTTATGGTAATGACTTTTGATATTAGCATGGTAATAACTTCGCACTGAAACTAGCTATGATATTTTTCACACAGTAAGTAACAGTCATTATTAAAAATTAATGTAGACTTACATAATATTACTACACGCATCACAATATAGTAAAACAAAGTCGCTTCCCACTTTCTGTCTGTCCTTATGTATGCTTAGATCTTCAAAAATATTCAACAGATTTTGATGCAGTTTGCAGAATGCAGATCGCAGAAAAGTGATGGTCTTTTAAATAGTGGTTGGTGGTTTAAATATGTGAATATTACAGGCATAATTTATTATATAAATATTTCCAATGTAATGTGCAATTTTTTTGTATTAGAATTGAATCCGTGCGAAGCTGGGGAGAGTCATTAACCAAACCATAGACTAAATTTATTCTGTCAGATCAGTTTTTGAGTCAGTAACAAACTAGTAATAATATAGCATAATATTAGTATAGATAGTAATATGGTAGGAACGCTAACCGAATCGACCCGAACGGTATTTGCGGTAAATTCCGATCTATTCAGTTCGGTGGTAAATGTGTGTAATTATGTCATGCTTAATTAAATATCAGACAATATTCAGTAACAGGAAAAATAATTCTATTACTCTATTATTCCATAGAGACTTTCATTCAATTTTGTGTTTTTTTCCAATTCAGTATTAAGAGTGGCCGCACACCTTTGACTAAACAATCGCACAGTTTCGCATCCCATTCAACTGTTTAGTTACACAACTAAAAAAGTAGTAGTGTGCGCACCTCTACATAAGCTCATAGGAAATAAAGCGAGACTAAACAGTTATGCGATAGTTTAGTTTCAGATGTGCACAGTCTAAATATCTTATTAATTTCAAGATTAAATGTCTTTAGAACCAAATACACTAATCTATACTATTATAATAAAGCATAAACACACACTTCTTTGTGGCCTGAGATGTCAGCAATTACAGCATATTTTTGAATAATCCTTTTTTTAATATAAAGCCATACACTTACGATACGCTTTAGGCTATATATTACATTTTCACTCTATTAAAATTAGGGGTAAATAAATTGGACATTAAATTGGATAATAATTGGACGAGCTGCCAACCTCGAGGAAGCATAGTTGCAATGGTTTGTCATGATGTCATGTAATTTTGACATTTACAATTGATCATATGACAAATGTAAAAAAAAAATCAAAATTACATCCGGATAAAGCCGCACGGGAACAGCTAGTTATCTAATATGTGAGAAAGAAATAACGGAATTGATGATGCAGATTTATTAATTTAGAATTTTATTTACAGCGTATAATGGACTCAGCAGAAGCGGCTGCATTATCTCCAGGCAGCAGTTCCACCGACGGCAGCCCAGGGTCGTATTTCGACGCTCGCTGGCTGAACGTGCACGCTGACGACGGCACGCTGGCCGCCCGCGCACGTCGCCTTGTCCTCTCCCCCAGCCGACACTTTGATCATATTGCTGTCAACACCACGTATAGCGCTGTACTAATGCCTCCTTACATCAATACTGAAGGTAGAGTGATTTGATTCTTATTACTTCGACTTTTAAGTGTTAACCTCTACTTCATAAACAACTCGCGTTTCGTCCAAGTGAAATGAAAAAAAATAATAAAAAAAAATAGCCTATGCTACTCTCTGATAACTTAGTTTTATTGATGAAAGAATTTTTGAAATCGACCCAGTAGTTTTTGGGTTATTTTAATACAAATTACAAATCTTTCCTAATTGTAATATTAGAATAGATTCAGAATTAAAACGATATTTAGTGAGCTCATTATAGTTATTAAAAGCCAGATAAGATCAGGAAGATGACGACAACCTCAATAGTGATACAAACAGTCAATAAAGGAAGACATAGCCCAATCATTTATTAGTCAGAAATTGATAGTAATCTATCTATTTTAAGTCGTACTGACCTTATATAATAAACATTTGTGAATTGCATTGATATAAAAGTAAAACATTTCGAAGCGGATTACACGGCGGGCTTCAATCTGTCTCATAAAATATTTATTTAGGAGAATCGGAAATAGAGTCCGCGGAAGTACACCGCAGCTCGCAACCGTGCATCATGTACTACATAAGGCTATATACGAGAAACAATGTTTTACAGTACATTAGGTCTACTGCAATCATACGTTAATGAGTTAAAAGGTCCATATTGTTTTTATGCACGTATAAAATATTATTCCAAAGTATAGTAACCACACGTTAATGTCAGCTTTCCATTAACAAGTACATACAAAAGGCAACTTTTAACTCTGATAACTTTTAATGTAACGTGACGTGACATCGTGTGACAGCCAGAGAAGCCTGTATATTGTGACATTGTTAACACATTAAGAGTGTGTGCACACCTCAGCTAAAAGTAAACTATCGCATAACTTTTTACTCTCGCTTTGATTCCTATGACCATATATGGAGATGCCCACACTACTCGATTTGAGTGTGAAACAATTGAATGGGCTGCGAAACAATCGACAACAGCATAGCAGTTGTGAGATATTTCAGTCAATGGTGTGCGCCGGCTCTATGACGTCAGCTAGTGTAGATTGAAACTTGGTTGAATTTATTATAAGGTTACAGGTTATATACATTAACCTCAGTATCCGAAAAATAGTTCTCAAAATAATAACAAATGTATCATATTAAAAAATTCAATATTAAAGTATAAAGCATACTCATTTCATTAACTTTCAAGTCACCGCCGGAACGTTAAAAATGGAAGAAACACAAGAGAGCAATAGACAATTATTTAGTTGGGTTCCGTGGCGCTTGTCGCGAAACTACTCCGTGACATGACTAAGTGTTTAGCCATAAGTAATGACTATTCTAGTTTCATTTCCTAGCTGCGCAAAAAAAAACTTGTCATGTAAATTGTTACTCTTAACAAATGTCAGAGAAATTACAATAAAGTAACATCATTTATTAACTTTTTTGTGTTTTTTTTTTAAATAAGATTAAAAAATACCATGTAAAATCTAAATCTTAACAGAATTTACAAACTTCGAAATTAAATAGTACAATTGCGGACCTATTTTTATTAGAAAGCTTAAATTAAATTTATTTCTAAAGCACGAGCAGCCGTGTTTTGTAGATGAAAATTTCCCGCCATTTTATAAAATTTCCTACCTCGACTACAGTGGTGCAGTAAGTGGAATACGATCGTGGTAAATGTTCGACGGATTTTACCAATCACTTTTTTATGGCTTAAAGAAAATCCCACTTAAAAAATATTATCGCCAAAACAACTGCTGCTGTTTTTACAACGAGTTTAAATTTTAACTCGCATTTAAAAAAAACAGGTTATTTCTAGAATTCACCGAAACTTGTACATTTTCTACAGAATTCATACATGGTCAGTTATTTCACTTTAACAAATTGACACACCTTACTGAATGCTTTCAACGCAAAACCTGAATTTTAGCTTCAAATACTCTGTGTAGTAACGGTTTGACCGATTTTCAACATTTCTGAAACTACGGAAACATTTTTTGTACACTACGTCACATTATAAATTCAACTAGATAATAAAAGCTTGTTTTCATAGATGCGGAGGTACAGAACCAGATATCGTGGTCGGAGCATTTAGATCCATTATTCGTTAACAACTACGAGATCGATCCCACACTCTCGTGGCAGTACTATGCTTCGTCTTCAGGCTTTATGAGGAGATATCCAGGTAAATATTCTAATTGACACAATAAATCAAAATCTATACTTGATAGTAAGCAATATGAGTAAAAGACAACTAATAAAGTACAAACTATATTACTGTAATTATTCTATCTTTTTTATGCTATTTATTTTCATATTTCAATGCCTGTCTTTGTTTATATGAACGTGAAAAATCATCCATAACTTTATTACTTAATAAAACGTTATTTGTTCGCGATCTATTTTGGTTAAGGTATAAGTTTCGTTTAAGGCATAACACTCTCGACCCGGTTTTAAAAATGGCGACAGTTTAAAAGAAGTATATACCTAGGGGTCGCAGAAAACCCCGCAGCCCCTCCCCCGCTGCCCCGTCGTCGGTGCGAACTCTACAGAACTATGCAACCTCGCCTCCGGCACTTCCTATTCTCAAGATTTCTTCGAAAGTGCTTCTAAAATTCACTACGATTTATAACACAGACTTGTTGTAACTTGAACGCTATTCACTTTTATATTGGACAAAGGATTTAGAACTACATTTTATACCTATTAAACTTCAACAAATAGGTTTATTGAGTTAGTCACATAAATTTCTAAAATAGTTCACATCTGTATCATAGTAAATACATTTGACATTGGTAGAGCCCGCTTTACCATTTTAGCACAAAAAGCCGACCCGGCTCGCCCGGTGAAATACCACGACTACACAAAAGACAGGCGTGAAGTGGAAGCAATTTCGCGTTTCGTCTGATGAGTATGGTGCAGGAGGCCCAATTTTAGTCCCTTTCCCGTTCCACCTTATTCTTATAAAAAAGAATTGGATGGGAAAGTGGATTTGACGGCGGAGGAGACGCATAGGAAGGGGAAATATCCTCATTATGTGCGTCTCCTCCTCCGTCGATTTAGGGTACGCATATGCAATTGCGGATGTCTTTCGGCAGCGGTCGCTTCGCCATTTTGGCGGATTTAGGTGGACGCTTGCTCGTTTGCCAACTTATTACATAAAAAAAATACTTAAAAAAGTCTTTTTAACCTAATTAAGGACTTCGATTTTGATTTTATCATTCTTCATATGTTCTTTGTTTTTTTTAGCAATGTCATGGCCACCTGAAGACGGTTACTCACACCATGCGAGAGACTTCTACGACTTCAGGTCATCAAACTGGTTCGTGGAGGCGGCTACATCACCTAAAGACCTGGTCATCCTTATGGACGACTCGGATGACCTCGGCTCGTCTTACCAGCGCCTTGCCAAGGCGACTGTGTCTGCACTTTTGGATACACTGGGCCCAAATGATTTCGTCAACGTATATAGATACAGCGATACCGTATCTGAGATACATCAGTGTTATACGAAGATATTAGCACAGGTATGTAATTAAAACAAGGCTTAAGGGGTTGTGGGAGAGACAATTTGCGTTTTTTGGGTAGATAGACGGATCACCCGCTCGTGCCGTGTCTAATCGCGTCGGCCCTCTTCGGCCATGTCCTTATTATGGACGCCGCGCTGCCAGATTCTGATTTTGATTTTTAAAAATCAAAGTTTGTTTACCAGCCAGTTACCATGCTTTATTACGTTATAAAATATTAACATCGTCCATCATTGAAACAACAATCTTAATTTAAACATTATAAAGTTCAAAATACAGTTTATTTCGCTGATATATTTTTTATCGTAATCGCATTAACATGAAGGCCAACAAACAAGTTATTTAAAATTTGTTGTTATTTTAAATTGCGGTCAACATAATGTGTTTTTCGTGCGAGCGGCACACATCGTATTGAATTAAAACAGTTGTGGCAAACACTATTTTAATGGAAAACAACAAAATAATATAGTATACAGTATGACTCTTCCGAATAAAGCATATTTATTATTTTATTTTGAAAAACAATTAGTTCCGTAAAAAATCATAACAATTATAGAATTTATTGCACTATCTAGACACGAAATAGCGTTTAAGGCTTGTTATGATATCGTTTTGAAACTATGTTTTTTGAAATCTCACCCCTTTTCATACTATAAAGAATTTTCTTTTAAATCGTTCCCAGAATGGGGCAAATGCATGTATTGCGTGCGGCGGTACGCATTACGATACCCATCTGTCCTCGGTGTATCGCGGCCTAATGGAATCAATCAAACCTGCTTTAATTCCTACCTCCATTAGATTTTAACAAAATATAACAATAGATCAATATAGTTTATTGCTATGTCTAGTTATTATAGATAACCAACATAATGTTATGTATGCTATTGCTCGTGACTTCGTCTACATGACAATATAAAATGTAAAAACAAAAATGTAGTATTTCTAATGGTGAAGGAATTTTTGAAATCGGTCCAGTAGTTTTTGAGTTATTTCAATACAAAAATACCTATTTTTCTTTTTTATAATATTAGTGTAGTCTAAACAAAGCAATTGAAAATGCAATTATTTAACTTAAAAGGCTGAAGATGTTTACTATTAAGTAAAAAAAAAATACGACGCATAATGCTAATCGCCAACAAGGTAATTGGGGTTTACTCAGCGAGTAATTTTCAGGCGCATCGTAATTTACGAACAGAGATAAACTAAGATTAACATTTACGTTAATAAATGTACAAAGCTCTGTAAATTTATTTTATATTTATCTTTACATTGGTTGCTCTAAGAGAATATATGTAAAGACAATTGTGATATTCAGTTTGCAAGTCCTGCACAACGTATAAGATATTATCTCCTTAACTAACAAGTTGTAACACGCGACAGGTTGAGTTGTGTTCGCTGTTTATCACGTAACTTCATATCTACGCTGTGCACTTACTATGTTGTCTTCATTAGTAAGTTTCTTAAACGGTAGTTTATCTTTTTCATCGATTTTCAATGTAAACCAAGCTTAAAGAATCATCATCATCAACTTGCTCTTACCCCTACAGAGGGTCGGCACAGTATGTGCTGCTTCCATACATTTCTATCAGCCATCACATCTGAATCCATTGACTTCTTTCTCCGGTCTTCCTCTACCTTTGTAGCACATTCAATATAACACTTTAGAGACTACGCTTATGTTACAGCTGGTGGGGAAGGTGTTAAACTAGCTAATTACTTTACCTAAATGATATTACAAGTGGAAACGTACCGAGATGGGCAGGAGGCGCTGGGCTGTACGCACTTCGGCTAATATACGGCAAGGCAATTACCCCTCGGCAAACATTCCACGCGATATAATATTCTGTGTTAATGAAACTTTACTATATTTAAGATTTAGTACATTTCTGCGTTTGTTACAATTAACAGTTTGTATAAAAAGCTAATTTTATTAATCTACAATAAATAGTTACACAGTTTATTAAATTAACTGACGTCATCTTCATATTACGATTATGTTGTTATACAAGTGTTTAGATCTTGGAAACCGACGGAATAACATGCTATAGTTGACATATATGTAGAAATAAATAAAGACAGAAACACAAAATATTTCTATTTGTAGACAATAGTGAAACTTCTACATTTAGGAGCTCACGTTAGCGTATAAATTTTCAGTGTGAAATTTCCGTTTGAATCAAACTTTCACGTCTTTGAAATGTGGCTTTGGAGAATGTGCGGATAGTGAGCGGCAGTGGCCCTTGACCCTGCTGTGGCAAAGGTCAGGTGAGAAGTGGCCGGTCCTCGTGTTCCCACGCGAACAAAACCACACTCAAAAGCCTCTCTTCACTAACATCACTAAATAAAACTTTGTACAGTTTAAATTTAGATTTAGCTCTAAAAAAGATTTTTCTTAGTTACGTGTATTTTTATATTACCAAAGAAACTAATTGGTTCTTACTGGATTAGTTTACTTTAATAAAGACTAGCTGTTCCCGTGCGACTTCATCCGCATGGAATTATGTAAATTTTATATGATTGTTTACGTTTGTCAAATTGTCAAAAGCAAATGTCAAAATGTCATGACATGACAAACCTTAGCAATTTTGCTTTCTTGATGTTGGTAGCAACTTATGGTCTCTGTCCCACATTAGGGTTTTTATCCAAAATATTCACCCGCTAAGTTTAACGGCGTGAAAATATATAGCCTAGAGCGTGACGTAAGTGTAGGGCTTTTTTAAAAAAAAAATATTCAAAAATATGCTGTGATTGCTGAAATCTTAGGCAACAAAGAAGTGTGTGTTTACGATTTATTATAATAGTATAGATTCTGTTTCTTTACTTTATTTACCAAAATGTATTCAATCGTTAAGCTCTTTGAAGAACTTTATAGTTTCCTTATGCTTTTAAATTGTTGTGAAATGAAAACATATAACTATTTAACATAATTTAATGTTATTTTAATTACATTATAAGATAACCTTATTTTGTTCAAGGCCGTACCTGAAACGTTACGTGAACTGAAAACCGCACTGTGGGCGGCGGAGCCGGCGGGCGGCGCGGCCAACTTGACTGGCGCCCTCACCACCGCCTTTGAGATACTACATAGGGTAATTATACAATGCAATTGTAATAACACACTCTTTTAGTTCTTTTCTCATAGTAAATCTACACTAAATGTTTTTCTGAATTCTGTAAATGCGACAGTAAATGAAGATACGAGTACGTTAAAAAGAAACTCGGTTATGAATACCAGTGAAACTATGCGTAAGCTTTCGTGTGTAGCTTGCATAAGATGTTAATAGTACATTCCTTTCTCGTAGTACAACCGCACAGGTCAAGGCTGCCAATGCAACCAGGCGATCGCAGTGATAGGGGCGGGTGGTGGCGCTGGCGGGGTGAAGGGCGTGTTCCGCGTCTGGAACTGGCCTCACATGCCTGTTAGGATATTCACGTACCGCGTCGCTGGAGACGCGGCCTCCGGACATACTATGAAGGACATGGCCTGCACTAATAAAGGTACGACTCTATTAAATATCACATTTACTTTATATTGGGTGTTAAACTACACAAAGTAATTAAGACTATTCAGTTTTTTTTAAATTTTGACTAATAATTATTAAGTAACCATTTAATAATTCTGGTTGCGATTGTGAGAGGAGGTTTAATCTCAGACGGGAGCCAAATACAGTACGTGTAAAGCTTTACTCAATATTCAGCTATTAAAACCCAAATTATTAATAAATGTTATTCGCAAATCTAAACATAAGAAAGAGGTCTTAATTACTTAGAATATAGTAACAATTTTGTGTTCATTAGGATTCCACGTGACTATAAACGAGCATTCAGAGATAAGGCAGAAGGTGCTGCACTTCGTGGAGGTACTCGCGCGGCCGCTAGTCATGTATCAGTCCATACACCCTGTGCACTGGAGCCCTGTGTACGTCGGCGGAAGGGTATGCATAGGAAATATATCATAACATACAAGTCGTGTACAATAACATGGTAGGTACACAAGTAAAACTCATGTCTTTATGTCCCATCATTGCGACATAATCTGCACTAAATGTTTTAAGTGTCTTTGGCAGACCTAAGGATATTCATAAATTAAAGTTAGTAGGGATTAAAAACTGTGAATAACTTAACACAAGATGTTTTTAAGATGTCACTTATTTCTTTTAAACATAGTTACAAAGTAACATTTTAATAATGTTTTTATTTCTTGCATACTGGTAATTCTCAGTGAGCCATGTGCTTGTAATATGTCTTTAATTAAATTATTTTACATGAAACTTTGTATTTTTTGCACTGTTTTGTTACTTAAATATTTTTATTAACGTTAACAGAGTAGCAGCTTAGCTGACGATGGGATGGGTCAGTTGATGACGTCAGTCACTGTACCAATCTTCGACAGAAGGAATCATACTGTAAGTAGCTCATATCTAAATCTATTTATTATCTTACCGTTCGTAACTACATTAAAAATACTGTTATTTTATTGTAATCTAAAGAGTTACGATTTGATTTTTCTCATACTAACTTTTACACGACTTCATACGCTCGGAATTTAAAAGAAAATTACTATTATTTGTAACCTATATGTTCTTGCTATTCTATGTTTAACTTACATCTATGCTAAAGTTCCGTTAAATCGTTTTGAAGATACTTAGTAACAAACATCCATCCATCTAAACTTTCGCATTTATAATTTTAGTAAGATATTTATCGTGTAGCGCTATTTTGTGGAAGATTAAAACGTCGGAAAACTTATGATGCCTACAAGAAAAGTATTAACATGTGACGTACAAGGTATCAAGTGACGGCTTATTTTCTAATACCTTCTTACGAAGCGAGGCCTAGATACAGGGATTATAGGCTAGACTGTACCGTACCTAACATTTACTACTTATATTGTTGAAGCTAAAGATTTCTGCTTCGGATACTAGATCTTCTGCATAATAAAGTGCAAAGCATATTATTTGATACAAAAGGGGATTTCAGGGTCCAATATTTTATTTTCTAACTTAATTTAAAATTTTCAGCAAAGGGAAGCCAATTTACTAGGAGTTGTTGGCACCGATGTACCTGTCGATCAAATAAAGAAGCTCGTACCACCGTATAAGGTACATTTTACTTTGATAAAACTAACTTACGACTAGTTCAGTTTTAATATTATTTTATTTGTTTTTCAGTTAGGTGTAAATGGCTACTCTTTTATGGTGGATAACAACGGGCATGTTTTGTACCATCCTGATTTAAGGCCTCTGGTATGTTCGTATACAAATTATTTACTTATTTGGGAATAATAATTATGTTCATAACTAAATCGTGTTTCTTTTTCTTTCCAGCACACAAATGAGGAGGTAATCACCAATGTTTCAAGCAATAAATTTATAATAAGGAAGTTAAGCAAATTAATAAATAGATATTTCACATTACTTGTAAATATTAATGTTATTTCTGTATGTTTCAGTATACAGAAACTCTCCGTCCATTGTATTCTAGCGTGGACCTCACCGACGTGGAGCTACTCGTCGACTCTGATGAGAATTCCCGCGTCAATCTCACCTCGCTGCTGTTAGATGTAAGATAATATTAAACAATTTAAAAAGTTTAGTTCCTGAAAAGGAAAAAATCTTTTACATCACAACCAGTTTAATGGCCGGTTTCTCAACTAAGATTAACTATTCATTATTTAATTAATGTTTTTGGTTAGTTACCTTCCAAACTACGTAACTTGAGTTTTACTCTATTGAAACCTAGCATTAATCTTAAAGATTTCACAGACTGAATGCGTGGTAGACTTTTGCGTCTAATTTGATGGGTAGTGTTCAGTATATTTTAAATTGATTGATTACTTTTAAATTGTATTATGTACAGTTACGTCACGACATGATAGAGCAGCGCGAGGGCGAGACGGAGATAGGCGTGAAGGTGCAGTACGCGGGCATGCGGCGCGTGGCAGCGCGGCGCCAGCGCTACTTCTACAGCCCGCTGGCCGGCACGCCCTACTCGCTGGCCGCCGTGCTGCCCGACGGCTACGGCATGTACGAGCTGCAGGCCGAGCAGGAGATCAAGCACAGCCCCTTCAATGGTCCATAATTATTATTAATACCCCTTCTTATTTCCATTTTTTCGCAGTCGCTACCGCGTGACTTGTGTAGGGACCCCGTGTTGTTTAGTTATTCTATACTAATATTACCTATACAGTGGAAGAAAATATTTGTATTTTTCGATTTTTGTACATATTGAAATAATTAAAAAACTACTTGACCAATTTCAATACTTCTTTCAGCATTAAAATGCTATGATATCTTTTAGTAACATAGGCTGTTTTTATTTATTTTTTTTAATTTCACGCAGAAGAAGTCGCGATAACAGTTGCGAATAATTTAATTGTGTACTCACAAATGTTTTTTTTTGTTTATACAGTCACAGAATATTTCAAGGGCGATAACTGGAAAGTTCACCCTGATTGGTAAGTTGTATTAACGTGTGTAATTGTTATAAGAAAAATAATTTCTAAGTCCACAACCTTACATTCATAAAGATAAGTTTTGTCTTATTTCATAATCTTACTGCTTATCCAATCATTTTTGTACACCACTCCCCACTTAGCTCTCTCATACGTCATCTCAATCATCACTCCCTTCTTGATCATGTCACCTTTCACACAATCCATCCATCTTCTAGGTCTACCTCTACCGGTGTACCTCGTACGCACTCATGAGTATTAACTATTGTCTTATTTAATTGTGTGTGTAATAGGGTGTACTGTGAGTACGCGTCAACATCGGACCAAGTGTTCAACAGCCCGGAGGAGCAGCTGCTGCACTTCTTGTCGCGCGCGGGCCGGCCCGGCTGGAAGTGGATGTCGCTGCGCCCGCGCGCACTCACGCTGCACAACGCGCACAAGAAGCAGGACAGGGACTCTTACTACTGTACGTATCGGCTTTGCATGTGTAGAGTTAGAAAACAAACAACGTGTACCTTAGCACGTGTAGGGTCAGAAAAAGACAATAGTTTGAGAAATGACTTAATTCCAGATCTAAAGTAAGTCTAAGAAGTATCAGAGTTGACCCAGAGTCAATCAAAAACGACTTCTTCTAACCTCTTAATTTAGTCAGAGAATTAATAAAGTAACGACTTAACGTAAACTAATGCGCCCGCGCACATCTTTTACTAAACTATTGGACAACTGTTAAGCGATTGTCGATTGTTTCGAAACCCGATAAACTGTTTAGTTGCCCAACTATAAAATGTAGTAGTGTGCGCACCACTATGTAAGCTCATAGGAATCAAAGCGAGACTAAACAGTTGTGCCATCGTTTAGTTAAAGGTGTGCACGCGTCCTAAGAATCGAGAAATGTCCGTATTGGTATTAGGGGAATCAATCGTTTTATTATAGGAGCCGTTGCAATTGTTAATTTCTTTTACAGGTGACAAGACTTTAGTTCAATCCTTAGTTAGGGACGCAATGGTAATAAAAGAATTGGACGCTCACACTGGACATGCCAACCATCACTCCCAGTAAGTATACGACCGTAAACCATGCATGCACACAATACAACGATTTCCGATAACGCGATAAGAAATCCAACGTTGGTAGCAACCGCGCAATGGATAACGCGGAATTAATTCTATCAACAAATACCACACGATTTAAAATTGCAACACTTGCATGATGAAAGCACATAAATCACGTTTAAAGCACATTAATTTGTTTTTTTTTTATTTCGTTCACTAATTCGATGTGTTTGTCACAATAGCCCGATAGCGACTTTAATGGCTCTACTGACAAGGTAAAGTAAAAAACTTAGTAAACTTCCTAGTAGTCGTGTTAGTAATTTTGCTAGCGACTAAATGAGACATCGTATAAATTAGTTCGGAGTCATCTTTAAAGGAAATTCATTAGTATAGAGTTCATACAGGAAATATTCGATCTCTTTTCTTTACTATAACCCCTTTCTTTAACTGTTTTAGAAACTTCTATCCTACTTATGTTCGAAACATATTTTCATTATATTGAAGATTCAAAATCATATTTTCTAGCTAATTCATAAAAAATCACTTCAACGTAATAGTTGAATAATCTTCATATAATTATGTATTTGAAAATCAGACGTATCACTGGCCATTAGATAAATTCCTTTCAAGTCGCTAAGTGAAAGAAAAAGAAAATAAAAAAATCCATTGTATGTTATCATCACGAGGAACTCTTTAATTATTGTTTGTCTTATAATTTTTTACGTAATATAAACAATAGCTACCGAGGATTGAGGTAATGTTGTACTAATCGATATATTTGTGTTTTTTGTATTTTCCAGCCACCAAGGAATAAGAGTTTTCATTGTTGTATATTTTTAATTTCATTATAAATGCTTGAAATAATAAACTTTAAAATCCGATTAGTTGCTTAAAATGTTTTTGACAAATTTTATACGGTTAATGGCAGTAGGAGTACAGTGCCGTCGTTTAAGAGAATAAAATAGGAGCATACATATTATTATTGGGAATTGAATCTATAACAATGTGAAGTTTACGGCTTAAGAAACATCAAGATGAAAAATCCTCCTACAATCAAGTAATAGAAATGTATTTGTTTTGTCGACTTTTTTGAAGATTATATGGGGAAATACCAAATTATATTTTAAAACCTTTAAAGGAAAGACCTGAGTATATCTATACTCAAATTCGGCAGCGGGTATTAAGGTATATTGTCTTTGCAGACAAGGACGCTTTCACAAGTTCGTGGTGACGCTGTCGTTCGTGGCTACTCGCAGCGGTCTGCTCAAGTGGACAGACAATACCAACGCCTCACGCACCTCGGAATCCGCAGAGCCGTGAGTAAACATTAACATAATAACTTCGTATAACTTTCTTTTCTATAATTATCAGTACTTACATATGTCTTAGTAATGTATCGTATCTAGTCTCAAATAAAAAAGAAATTTAACAAAAGTTGCAAAGAACAGTTAAGACTTCTTCGATTTTAGTGCCTAAATCTAGAATCATTGATAAAGAGCTAATAAAATTACGTTTTTCCGGGGGTTGTATAGACACTTCAGCGAGAAGTACGGCCGCGCATTCGACTCGGAGTGGTACAAGCGCGCGGTGGAGCAGCACGGCGTGGAGCCCGAGAGCTTCGTGTTCTCGGTGCCCTTCCGCGAGGCGGACTCGGAGCCCGCGCCCCCGCACCACGTGATGGCCACGCACGCAGTCTTCGTGGAGTCCCGCGGACACCGCGCGCCCGCCGCGGTCGTCGGCCTGCACTTCCAACTAGACTCATTGGTCAAACATTTCCTTAATGTCACTTCTACGGTAAGCGTTTTCAACTTGAAAATATAAATGTAAAGTTGATGAAAATCATATTCCACATTTTATACTTGTATTTGTACTTTTGACTGTTTCTATTATTCCTAAATCTTATTCCAGTGCACTGCGGGTAGCGTTTGCAAGAAGACGTGTGCTGGCGACGAACTGGACTGCTACATCCTAGACGACAACGGGTTCATCATCCTGTCTGAGGACACGTCACAGACCGGCCGCTTCTTCGGTCAGGTGGACGGCACGATCATGGACTCTCTGGTGCAGGACAGAATCTACAAGAAGGTCACAGTGCACGACCACCAGGGAAGGTGTCCCGATTCAAGGAACCCTTTCAGCGGAAATAGCAATAAATTAACGGTATGAAGTACCCTTTTTTGTTTGAAAACCTAGGAAATCAATGTTTTTACATTACATTACTGTTCAGATTGCTCGGTGTAAGCACAATATTTAGATTTGATTAAGAATCTAATCTATTAAATAACCTTTCTTACGTAGCCATTGAAGCCTTTTTCATGGGTGGGAGGGTACCTCATGACCCTGCTGACTGCGTGGTTCCCGCTGTGGCAGCCAACCCACGCTCGTTCCAGTCGATATGCGGATGAAGATTTGGGTAACAGAAATACTTTTTTTACAGGCAGCTTAAGTTCAGCAATTTGTAGTCATAAGGAATGTTAGACATAATAAATATTACATGTTCTTCCTTCTCTTGTACTTTTATAGATGCCGATTACGAAGACTACGAAAAAGAGGATCTCGAATATGAGGATGTAAGTCGTGACCCGGGCCCCTATGAGATCATAGTGGACGGGACGGGAGGGACAGCTGTAGGACGGGAAGGCCGCGAGGGCCGGGAGGGTCGTGATGGCCGCGAGGGCTGGGAGGAGCGCGAGGGCCCCCCGCGGGAGGCACCGCGCGAGGCCGCGCGCTCCGCCGCCGTGCGCCCCTGCGACACCAGCGCGGAGCTCTTCAGCCTACAGTCGGCGCGGCTCAACACCGCGCAGCCTTTGAAAGGAAAACTCACTAATTGTCACAATTCTGGTTGCGAAAGGTGAGTTCGCTACAACTTTTGCTTTTGTTAGTAGTATCAGTTGTAAAATACCTTTGTAAATAAATGGCAAGAATAAAAATTGTGATGATTAATTTTTTTTTAAATAAAATGTGTGTTTTTAAAAAAAATGTGTGTTTCCATAGGCCATTTAGCGTGCAGAAGATCCCTCACAGCAACTTGATCCTGTTAGTTGTGGACACGCTGTGCCCGTGCGGCGCCAAGCGGCTGGACGTGCGCGCCCGCGAGGCACCGCCGCGCGCCGCCTGCCGCCGCCACGCGCCGCGCGCGCACCGCCGCCGCCCCAAGCACTGCGGCTCCTACCACCCCGAGGTATTTACGTGTATTGGCCGTTCATGTATCTTTTCAACCGAAACCTGAGTTATTCTCAACTCCATGACCTTTTTTCCCTAGGAAATTGAAATTCAATCGTGTGGGCGCGGTGTATCGTTCCGACCTTTGAGCGCTCTGTTGCTGACGGTGGCGACGTGGCTAGCGCTCGCCACGTGACTCCGCCCGGCCGCGCCCGCGGGCTGCCCGCACTACTAGACACCACACGGCTTAGGACACGTGTCAAACACATCGTGAATGGTTCGATTCGCCACAACAAAGACATTGATGAGCTTCGCCATTTAAAATGTAAATCAGTATTGTTTAGGTGCGCAATGGACGGTTCGTGTGTACTGTGAGAGGGTGCAGATGCGCCAGCGTGCCCCTCTGGAGCGCGCGGCACATCGATACAATCGACTGAAGTTTTGGTCCGACCAAGTGAACTTTTCTTGTCCCGCGACAGGAACCAACTTCGATTAGATTTAATATTGTATTCGAAATAATCTCCCCATTCTCCGTTAAGTCGTCATCTCTATTGTAACGATACGTTTAAACATTAGGTAGGTAAAGAAAATAATATCTTGTTATATTTAATTGAAGATTATCGCAAACTTAAAGATCTTAAAAATTATAGCTAATGTTATAGGTATTGAAAGGTAAATTAATGTAAAATTTATAATATCGTTTAAACAGTTTTAGAAAAATATACCTATGTTGAGTCATAATCAATTTTTTTCAGTGTCTATCATACAAATTTATTGAGAAAGTAATTTAGACGCCTAGTTTCGATGTAAATGTATAAAGTTTGTAATATTTTGTAGTTACTTTTCTTTGCTACATTTGTGTGTGCCAGTGTATCTACATAATATTGTAAATTGTTAATTCAGCCGAAGCGACGCCGCGCTACTAATTTATTGTTTCAAAATATTTTTATTTCATACTAATTACTAGGACATTATAAACTTTAAATATTGTTGTGTTTAAGCATATTTATTCGTCAATAATTGTTTTCTAAAAACAATTTGATGTCTAAATAAAGTAGTGATAGAATTTTCTGGAACGGAAACAACAATGACAATACTCTTAAAATAAATAATAATGGTTAATAAATAAATTGAATTAATCTTTTACTGACTAGCAACATTTTTAGATATTGCGTATTTTCGATATGATACAGAAGGTATTATTAGATTAGGTAAAACAAGCTTTATTTGTTTTTTTATGACAAATAATGTATTTCAATGATATAAATAATTATTATTATAAAAATAATGTTATTCATTTTTACAAGATGTTTTCGCGGCGCCGCCTTTTCCGGCCAGTCTTGTTCTTAAATGGTTAGACAATTTCTCATCTAATCTTAGTAATGTTGTAATTTGAAATTGTACACAATTTATTCATTATTGTAAATATCTTTACTAAATTTAATGGCCTATTAAGAAATTATTGAAAAGTGTTTCGCTAAAAAAATAATGGTTCGAGTCAGATATTTACTGTTAATATTTATAAGTATAATTTGCATACTATGTACTTAATTTATTTGGTACGCTTTTATATTTCAGATCCCAGAATTATTTATTAATATTTATACTTGAAACCGGATTGTGGGGGCTAGATATTGCAGTTAAACTACGAATTGTTTGTACCGAAATCAAATAAATGTATGTTTAGGATTAAAATGATTTTCATACAATCGTGATCACGATTACATGAGAGGCAACTGCACTTATAACTCATGACTTCAGTATGACGTCATCGTATTCAATTCTCATGTTATTGTGTTCGTGTATTAGCCATATCACCGTCAACCTTACAGCTTGCTGTTGTCCATGAAATAAATGTTCTATTAAAAATAGTGTTAAACAATAAACGTTTCTAGATAAAATTCACAGCTTTTTATACTGTCTTTAAATTAATTGATCGCGTTTATGTGATAATTAAAAATTTTACACTACCGGACATGCAATATACTGAAATAGTACATAATTGAAGGTTTTTATATGAATAGTTCTCGCATTTCGTGTGCCAAACCACAACCACTGCTAACTACACGGTTTTTGGGGAATCGACATTTATAAATTAAAAAAATAAAATCAGTGGACAGCGGTGAGCCGGGTAACGAATGCTGGATATAGGTTAAGATGGAAATGAAAGATAAACATTTTTCTTTAGTTAAATTTTACAAGCATTGAAATTGTATAATTTTATCCCATATTAAATTTTCTTCTACTGCATCCAGTCATCAGTATTGGTAATTTTTTGGTATATTACTGATATTTTAAATAATTCCATCATGTAGAACAATATTTAGATTTTCATAACCTCTGTAACAGAATTATCTGGGCGCTTTTGGATTGTGTACATTTTGTATAAATGAATTCATACATTACGAAGCTGAGTTTGTTTCTATTGTGTGGCGAGCGACTGGTAAAGTATTGAAAATGTTTCTATAGCGAAGCTACCGATATGAGATAAAGAATTTAAACAAACATAGATTGAAGAACTTTTAGAATGGTCTACTAAATTATTAGTGTATCATGAAAAATAATTTTCTCTATCGGTTATTGAAATGTTAGACCAATTTTCTGTTGGTTTATATAATTTATCTTGTCTCGCTGGCCTTGCCATAGTAAGCGACGAGTCTTCCATAACAGTCGAGCGCGCAGGTCGTGTGTTTTACTGTAACTTAAGTATTATACGATAATAATAGCATATTTATACTTACTATAGTATAGGAGCTCGGGAGCCGCGCTGCGGGCGCACTTAGCGGGTTTTAATTCTATGTAAGTATAGAAATAAAACAAATACCTCGTTTAGTTACGCAAAATAGACAGGATTAGAGTTCGTTTCGCGTTTAGTTTTTGAACATATCAATTCAGGCACCAAATGAGACTATAGATTAAGGATTTTTGGATGTTTTCCATTTGTGATCTCATTATACTGTATTTGTTCTAAAGGGGACGTTTTGATTGTCTTTTTAGTGTGTGATCATTAAAATATTTAGGTTAAAAAATAAGTTGTAGTGCTATGTCCGGATAAGAGACGCTGTGTCGATTAGGTGTGGTATAAAAATATTTATACAGTCCATCAAACTACATGTAATTTCCAATTCAATTTTTATCCCATACTTTATGTGTGACGCTGACTTTTTAAGCTCATCTCGATGTTTTAACGTTATGTAACTATACACAGGCTATACATGTGCATAGTAAAAACATAGCCTAAGCAATTTATGAAGTTACTTCAAGAGAGGAAAGTGATCATTGAATATTATTTGTGCTTAATATTTCGTCGATCTTATACGCGATAGAAATCCTATAAAATTTCATATCAGAAACATTTAAATATATTACGATGAGGGATATTAGTAATGTTTAATATGTAACAAGAATAAAAATTTAATTATAGTTTATTTTTCAAGAATAATCTCGGACATTAAAAGCGATCCCTTTATAACATATCAAAAATATTATTTGTACGATAATTTTAAGTAAAGTGATGTCTACAATAGAGCCACGTTCACTATCGATGTACGATTTTTTAAGCTTAAATATGTTTATTTTTTTAATTTTATGTTAAAACTAGAATAGTATTTATTTATCGAATTATAACTGTGTTAACGCCTGTCCAGAAACAACATTTTATTTTTTTATTTAGTTAAATGTTGGGATTTTCGAATTTGATAAATTTTGAATTTTATCGTTTCGTTTTAAAAATGTTCAACAGTAATCTCGTTACGCTTCTTAGAAGTAATAATAAAAATTTATACATTAATATTGATGGTCTTGAAATTTATATCTAGTTGTTCTCAAAATTGATTTTATTTAAAAATTATTTAATGATTATATAAAAAATGATATAGTTATTGTGATTTTGGGCGCGGACGACTCTGAACATGGTTATATAGTGTAATTCTAGTGAAATACTATTATTCTTTTTGTTATTTGCAAATTCATGCTATAGATATACCGTAATTACAATAAAGTTCTCTTATAACATTGTGATGATGTTTTATTTGGAAATATTCAACTGATTAAACCCTTTTACATACAGTATACGACACAATTAAAACTAAAGGCATAATTTTTACTGTCAGTTAACACTTTATGATTTGACTAGCTTCTCAATCAGCGTGGAATACAAAAAACAATAGTAAGTAGTCTGCGTTCTTCCAGACTATCCTCTACATCTATTCCATTTAATCTAAATCCATTTGGTAGTTTAAGTTACAAACTCTTATAAACTGGACAGTTTCCACCTAAACTTTCGCATTTATAATATTAGTAAGATTGGAGACTAACCACTATTGCCCCTATCATTGTAGTTCTTACATTTAATCAGAAACATCGCAACTCTTGTTCATAAAAAAAATTAAATCAAAATCTATGTTTTTTGTTTTTTTTTTCATAAACGACAATTAAGCGGGAATACGAATAATTCAACTCGCGTCAAAGAATGAAAATAAAACAGATAGGACGTCTTTCTCTGTCATCTCATACTTGTAAATGCCAAACTGTACATTTTCAGTTAATTCTTATCAATAAAGGTGCGAGATATTAAAACGAAAGTCAAAATATTGTAAATTATTTATTAAATCACTTAATTTATGTCTTAATTCATAGTACATTTACATGTACAAACTGGCGGCGAAAATGATGTCTCTCTTGAGCATTGTGATCGCTGAGGAGAATTTCTCCTCGAGGTCCGAGTTGCCGATGCTTTTAGCGGCCTGACATAACTGACGTAATACTTCCTCCAAGCGACGGATGCATCTTATTATTGACCCTAAAACATTAAAAAAAGTCAAAGATAAAGTGAACATGGTATTTTCATACAAATAATAATATAATGTAGGAAAATTGCGTAAGACGAGTCTGAAATACTGTTGCGTTTTTATTGTCAGCACTTACTAAAATTTTTAATAACACTTTCTAATATAAAGCCATACACTTTACAAAATGTTTTAGGCTATACATTTTCACGCTATTAAACTTAGGGAGTAAATTAATAGAAAAAAATCCGCCATGCAGAAAAAGGACTAAAATACAATGCTGCCATGGTTACCCATAAACAATTTTTAACCAACGTCAAGGGCCTTAGTTGTCATTGAAGCATTTAAATTTTGATTTTTGCAATTAAAAGTTTTACAAAATTTAAACAATAAAATAAAAATTTCATATTGTCAAAGATGCTTTATTTAGCTAGTGTACGGTAAAACAAAAGTACAAGAACATTAACTTCTTAAGACATATCTAACTGGTTACTTATTATAAATGAACACTTATTCCCTATACGTTAAGGTATAAATTAGCGCACTATTCACCGACCTTCGAAGACATCAGTCATCTTGCAGACGTCGAGGAAGGTGGCTCCCTTGCACCAGGCCAGCACGATGTCCATGAGAGTGCACTTGAACTTGGCCACGTACTCGTCCTCGTCCAGCTGCATGTTGCACTCGATAGACACCTTGGCTATGCGCCGCGCGAACTCCTGCGCAACACCAGTGACGTCACAATCACCTCATATATGGTTTTTGTAGGAAGTCACCAGAAAAAAAAATTCTAGAATTCTGCTTTGTGCTACTTAAATGGCCTTTTAATTTTGAGTATGCTAGTAACGCAATGGTGTAAGGGGATCTCGGAGTTCAAGGTCACCTTCAAACTTGGTTATTTGAATATGTGTGACGTCACAACCAGTTCATATGTGCAAATATTTTGTATGAAGAAACCATAAAATTTATTTCTAGCATACTGCAGTAAAACACTGTTTAAATAGCCGTTTAATTTTGAGTATGCTAGCAACGCAATGGTGTAAGAGGACATTGAAGTTCAAGGTCACCTTCAAACTTGGTTGTAATGTATGAAGAAGGCAATTATTCCTGAAGTGTGTGTACCTGCAGCTGGCGCAGCACGCCGCGCAGCTCCTCGCCAGTATTGGACTCCTGGGAGGCGTTCTCGTCGCACACGAAGCAAGAGACCAGCGCCGCGCTCTGCTCCGGCGACAGCGAGTTGAACACCCCGTTGAAGATCAGCTCCGTCAGCAGCAGCTCGTCCGCACTGATAGTTGGTGAATAAATATTTGTGTCTTTTTTGTGTTCTTTAACTAATATTATGAAAAAGATGCACCCGTGCGAAATTTTAAAAAAGTAATTATGTGTGTAAAGACTACTCTATATCTATGACGAATTTCCTCGAGATCTGTTCCGTCGTTTAGACAAAAAACTATAAGAAACATCAATCAATTTAAACTTTTACATTTGTAGGACAGTTCAAAAAGTAACAGAGAAATGTTACATTTTTATGGCCATAGACACAAATTAAACCTTTTTGTTGTTAAACCATAATCATATGCTAAATAAAAATCGTTTACAAATTGTATAGCGTTTGCCTGCGACTCTGTTATTGCGGAATTAATGAAAAAACACAAGTAAATAGTCTAAGTGTTCTTTGTGAATACGATCTAAGTCTATACAAAATTCAGTCGATCTATACTTTCACATTTATAATGTTAGTAACAAGCAAAAATGTATTAACCTCATAAATAGTGTTACATTTAATTTATTATACACTCTTACATTCCTATAAGACTATAAATTTATATAAAAAAAAACACTAATTACATAATAAGTGATTCTACTGTTATTAGTCACTATGGAATATTAAAATAACTATTATTGACATGAAAAAAAAAATCAAAGAGTCCACATATTACTTAAAAAGTGTAATCCATACCTACTTAATTCACAGGCTATTCGACCTTTCAAATGTATCACATCGGAGGTGGTGCAGTACCCCAGCCGTCGCAGGACACGTTTCCTCTTCTTCAGCTCATCCATGTGCAGGATGCTCTTGGCTTTCTTCAGCTCCGCCCTCGCTGAGGTCAATTCCTCTAAATACTCCTGCTTCTTTTCATATGCAGATATTAACGAGGCTCTATTCTCGTCTTTGTGTAATGGATGTTCGTAAAGTCTAAAATTAATACAAGAATTAAAAGCTATTTTAGTCCTCTTCCATTCACCGTACAAGGAAGGAATGCTTAGTGGGTTTGTCTGGGGATGAAACACAAAAAGGTAGGGGAAAAGTCATTTCTCTGTGTCACCTACACAGTTGATTGAAGGCAAGCAACAAATCTAGAATTTCTAATGTCTATGGGTATTTTCGCTTCGCTGTTTTGGCGAATTCCGGTGGTCTATTGCTTATATAAAATATATTTATATAATAAATATAATATATAGAAAACAATATATGCAAATGCTAGAACTTAAAGCAATGCATATGTCAAATCCACATTTTTTGTAAGCATTTAGTCCACAAAAATCACAATATCTATAAAACTTACTTTTCTTCCAATATCTTGATATTTTCCACACATTTCTTGAACACTGGGTCATCAATTTTCATATCTTTGATAGGATTAAGTAGCGGAGGTCCCTCGGGGAAGCGTTTTTTGACCTCTCCAATAGTCTTCAGCACTGACTTGCGGTTGTCCGGCGGCCGCAAGTCTTTGGGGTAGTACACTCGCAGGGAACTTATTTGATTTATTAATGTATGTAATACCGGAACCACCTCTACTTCACCTGCCTAGAACAGAATTATTTTAAAAACTTGATAGATACATAAAAATCTGTTTAACCAACACAAAATGAAATTAAAAACAAAACTTAGTAAGCTTATACGTTCTTTCAGACTATATTTTACATCTGTGTCAAATTTCATCGAGAACCAGAGTTCTACTTTGCAAACTCATCCATCCATCCATCCAAGAAAAAAATTTGAACAAAAATTAGTGTAACACAGTGACAGTTGGCAGTTAAGACAGCACATAAAGAGAAGACTGCACGTATACACGAAACATATTATAAATAATTTCTACTACTATTATACTATTCTTATAAAACTAATAAAGAAACGCTACAGTCAGTTTAATTTGTTGACTATGGTTTTACGTTTAGATCTTTTGGGCTAACATATACAATTACATCTTTGTCTTCTACAATAGAACCATTTTTTTTTTTAAATAAATAGTATAAATAAATTGTTTACCTCTCCCGGAGGACATGGGAACTTGGTATCCAGATCAGAAGGGTCCCATTTCTTGACATGCAGCAGTATGTCTACAATAATAACCTGCTCCGCTGTAAGAGGGTTCTCCTCCTTCTGTTTTTTGCCTCTAGATGTATTATGTTTGAAATTCACTATTATACCCCAGTCATATTCGTGTTTCTCTGTTTTCACCTGTAACAGATATTGTTAAAATGTACGAATACAAAAATATATGTAATTATGGTAAAAACAGACATTTCTTTATATAGGATTGGTAGAGACAGATATTTTATATAACTTTTATTCGTATGAATACCCCATACAACCATAATTTTTTTAAATAGTAAAAAAAAAATATTTCTAAAACTGTGAAGATGGATTTTTTTAACTACAAAAATTGTTCCAATCCCGAAACGTGCATAGATAAAGTAATCATTTTCGTTTAAAACACGAATTTTGAAACGTCAAATATGCAATAAAACTTCTGACCTTACATCTGACCGAATTCAACACATTAGTAAGAACCGCATAACAAATAAAAATTAAATAAAAAATCCTCTAAATTGAAACATTTGTACCTTAACTAGTCTGCCGGGCTGTAAGAATGGCTTGAGATACTCCGGCCGTGTAATGAACCCTCGGAACTTGGCACCGAGCAGGTCCAGCTGTGCTCGTGTCCCGCAGTACTCTGCTATACTTTTTTCCTGCTCTAAAGATAACTTGTCATACTGCTTCTGTTTTTCTTTCACCTCTGGAAAAGATAACAATCATTAAAAAAAAATAAACATATTTTTTAAATAATGTTCAATACATACTGTCTATGAGATCTGGTATAGATGCTTGATTTTGAAACTGGAAGAAACTCCTCTCTAACATATATTCGGGATTTATTTCTTCCACTCGCAATAAATTAAGTACCTTAAATTAAAATAACAGTTATTAGCATTTTGTATTCCCCTCTATCTTTCTCCCTATTTAGTCATATCTAAAACTTTAGGACAAACCAAGAGATACTATCCAAAATTCGAATAACGGCAGATTACTGAAACGAATCCTAATTTCGTTACCACCGCTTACAATCTGTCAGACGTCTTAAATGTCAATTCAAAACAATATCACATATATAAATGTCGTTTCAGAAACGGTAATAGTTAGTACTTAATATTAAAACATACCATATTATAAGTGAGATGGAAGGCGGAGTTAATAGGGTCTGCTTTCCCTTGTACGGTAGTTTTAACGACCGCTGGCGTGATCTTCTGGTCTATCATGAGGATAACGATACCCTTGTCATCCAACCCTCGCCGTCCCGCGCGACCTGACATCTGAATATATTCTCCTGAAGTTATCTGGAAATCAACAGAACATACTATTAGTACGTAAAAACAGATTTTAAGAAACAATTTATTTTTAAAACAAAAACCTACGTATCCCTTGGGAACCTGACATTTTTCGGGAATGAAACGTATCCTATGTGTTACTCTAGTTTTTGTAAGTATGTGCAGAAAATCATTAAAATATGTTGAATTATTGCAAAATATTGAGTGTACATGAAAAATTAAATTTATGTATCCCACAGGAACCATAACTATTTCTGGGATCAAATGTTCTTTGTTTGATTCTTTGCTTTGAACAGTCTCCCGAACTAGTGTACTGAATCATATATTCCCTATTATAAAGCTAAATTAATAACAGGCTATAAAATAAACGGGACATCAAAAGGCAGGGTATGGATGACAGAAAAGATATAAAACGTAATTTGCCACTGTGAGTAATACTTACAAATCTGAAATCCTTTCCGTCGTACTTCTGGCAATTAGTGAACACCACAGTCCTGGCCGGCATGTTGAGACCCATCGCAAATGTTTCCGTAGCGAATAGTGCCTGAAATCACAATTATAATTTAACATGTTGCTGACAGGTTTGAGAGTCTAATTGTAAATAATAAATATTATTTGTCTGAAAAAGATTGTATAGCATCAAAAAATCAACAAAGGAAATATATTAAGAGCCTGCCCCCATCACTGGCTGATAAAGGCTCAGATACCTTAAAAATAAAATCCGATATTTGCTCGAAAGTTGCTCCATTTACAACAAGTGGCAGCCTGTGGTTCATAGAGTGAGTAATAGAGTGACTAAACAATACAATTATTATTCAAAATCTAAGTTTTAGCTGACCTATGTTAGATTTTAAATTTAACTTTAAAATTCAATACAAATAAAAATAAATTTAATAAAATTTATTCAATACTAGTTTTCGCCCGCGACTCCGTCCGCGTGGAATTAAAAAAAAACAAAAGTGAGTAGCCTATGTGTTCTTCCAGACTATCCTCTACATCTATACCAAATTTCATCGCAATCCGTTCAGCCGTTTAGGCTACAAACTCTAACAAACATCCATCCATCCATCCATCCATCCATCCATCCATCCATCCATCCATCCATCCATCTATCCATCTATCCATCCATCCATCTAAACTTTCGCATTTATAATATTAGTATGATTTTGTGTTTTGGAAATTTTGGTGGTTGTCTAAAGTACCAGCTATATGTGTTATGGGTAGGGAACAAACGTCACCGACTGTACCTTAATGAGTCCCAAGCTGAAGAGTATCTCGATGGTCTCCTTGAGTATGGGCAGCAGGCCGCCGTGGTGGATGCCGATGCCACGGCGCAGCAGCGGCACCACGTGTTCCACCTGCGGCAGCTTGCGGTCCTCCTCCGACAGGATGTCCATCGCGTTGCTGAACACCTCGTCCACCAACTTCTTCTCTTCAACTTTCATTGTACAATTGTTAATTTAACAACATATTTGACATATACCAAAAAATAAATGTGTTCTTTGTATATAAACTTTAAATTATTTGCTATTTGTTAAAAAACCGGCAACTACTGAAACGACATTTAAATTTTGTCTTAAACTCCAAATTGCATTGAAATGTTGACGTTTGTGAGATTGTAAGTGGCACTTACAATCCAATAGTCAAAACACTAAAGTGTTTAATATTCGATACAATATTTGTACTAAATTGAAATATCTGAGAAATGTGGACTTAATTGTTGATGAAAAATAGGAACTTTAAATACATTTGTAAAGAGTATATAAGATCGAAATTTAATCTGATTTTTTATTGATTCACTGCTTGAAATATATAAAACAGTTCTTACTCACTGGTATTAAAGTCCAATTTTGCCATCAACATTGCATATGCTTCACAATCTTTCTTGCTGAAACTAAATATGATGACAGGTGCGAAGTTTCTTTCCATGACCATTTTGACAATATTGAATATGTTGGACTTGTTGTTGGCGCGCACGAGGCCGCCGCGCCGGCCGCGCTGCTCGCCCTTGCCAGCCTCACCCGCGTTACTGAGTACCGCCATCGCGGTGTTGAAGTTATCTTCTTTGAACTGACCCTGTTGATTGACATTGTTCAAACATTGAGACTAAATTTAAAGGATAACGATTGAAGATATTAAGACCATAAAAATTTTGACTCTTGTATTGTTGACTGTGTTACGGAGAGAAGTTGAATTTACGAGAAGTTTGTTTCAAAATTTATTTGTTAGTGAAACTATATACTTGTTTGTATATATTTCCAAGTTTTAGACATTAATCTATGATACATAAGCATATATTTTAATTAATATTTTTTTCATAGTATGTGTGTGTGTATATATATTTTAACATCAATGATATTATCACTCTCTTTTCTATAAAACTCTTCATACCTTTATCAAAATAATTACCTTCTCATCAACAACCAGATGTATACCATCACCGCCAGCAGGGAATATGTAATGCTGTAGCGGTGTAGGTCTGTACTCGGTGTACACCACATGGCAGGGCTGCGAGTGCAACCTGCACACCCACTCCGCAAACTGACGCGCGTTGGGGATAGTGGCAGACAGGAACACGTAATGAACATTATCTGGCAAGAGGATCAATGTCTCTGAAAGAAAAAAAAAACATACACCATCTAAAACATATAAAAAAAATTTAAGTAATAAATTTATCTATGAATATCTCAGTAGTGACATTTCTTTAGTCTTTTCTTAATATGAGTTGATAAGGCAAAGGGCTACCATAATTTGCAAAAATAGTAAGGCCATACATCTATAAAAGACATAAATAAAAAATAAGTTACCTTCCCATACTACCCCCCTTTCCTTATCTCTCATGTAATGAATTTCATCAAACACAACCCATCCAACTTCTCTCATAATTTCGGATCCTCTATACAGCATGTTTCTTAAAATCTGAAATGCAAAAATTAAAAATTTTTATTTTGCAAAAAAATATTTTTACTAAACTTAAAAGCTTATAAAATCTAATTCATTGGAACACTACTATTACATCCAAATAATTCTATATCATTGACATAATAGAAAAATAGACAGCAAAGTCATATAAACAAAAAATTTTAATAATTACCTCTGTGGTCATAATGAGACATGAAGCAGATGAATTGATTGTAACATCACCAGTGATTAACCCCACATCCTGAAACTCTTCGGAAAACTCCCTGTATTTTTGATTTGACAATGCCTTGATTGGAGTTGTATAGATCACCCTTTGTTTACTCTTCAATGAAAGAGCTATTGCATATCTATTAGAAACAAAACAAGAGTATCAAAAAACTTAAATATACTACACTAGTGATAAAGTATTACAAAAACAATTTTGTTATTAAGGCTATGTGAATTTACTGCATATTGGAAAAACTAATTCTTAAATGATTTTTAGACCTGCCTTTTATTATTATTTAAAAAAGAACACATTGTAGGACTTACTCAGCCACAACAGTTTTCCCCGCAGAAGTGTGTGCCGATACTAAAACAGATTGCAAGTTGTCTATGCACAATAAAGCTTCTTTTTGAAAGGGATCAAGTATAAAACTGTACTGTTTAGCAGGTTCTGCTGAAATTGGCGCCAGTGGGACATACTCTTGGCCTGGGGGCACAGCCACTTCATGTGTACATCCATCACTTGTTTCCAAGGTATGTATAACAATACGAGATTTTAAAACATCTAAGCTGAAAAATTAAAAGTTCTGTAATGAAAATTTCTTCAAGTCACAACTATTTATTTTTTTACTTTTCTTAAATTAAAGTTCACAGTGTAGATTCAGCCAATTATTCTCCTCAACTTCAGTATTGATGTGGCATAAAAGAGCAAATAATCTAAACTTAATATAAATTGGAAAGGCCCATTGTTATATTCGGTAAATGAAAAAGAACTCATTACTCTAAGTCAGCAAGGAGATCTGCCTCGTCTTCTTCTTCATCGTGTTTTGGTCGTTTTGTCTCTGCAGTATCTGCGTACTCAACTTGCTCGTGCGGTCGCTTAATGCTTGGATTTTTTGCCTTTTTAGGTTCAGATCTAAAATAAGATAACATTCAATTAAAAATAACAAAATTAAGTAAACAACTAATAGGTTATAGGGCTACTAACAAGACGCCTTTTGGAAGTTCATCTTCAATTGTTTCGTCTTCAGCACTATCTTCGAAACAATCAAATAAATCTTGAACATTCTCCATATTTTTAATGTTTATTACGATATTCTACAAAAGTACAAAAGCGTGTTTGCATTGCACTTGCATGTTTAATTTTTTTAGAATTTCATAAAACATCTTACACCTTTACATCTGAACTACTCTATGGCGCGAAAGTTGACAGTTAATTTTGACATAACTGTGAATATCAAACATATTGATTATTTCCTAAGCCTTTCGCTTTAATTTTAGCTTAGTTCTTAGTTTTAGAAAAACGGACAAACTGGAGTAGTTACACAAAACTTGTGAATAATTAAGTTAAAAAGGTCAACTAACATTTTTCTACATAACTAATCTGTGGATTTTATTGATTTTGACATTTGACATTTAAAATGTCAATAAAGAAACGAAGAGAAAAGTCAAAGTGAGATAGAATCAACATTAATATAATTCTAAACTTTATATTCGAATACTTGCGAGTCATGGTTTTACATGATTTGTTTTTACCAATTTTACTGCATTAAAGTTTCATCTTGCGCACAGAAACAGCTGTAGTTGAAGTTACTTGAAGTCAAGTATTGATATGAAATTTTAATGTTTGCCGGTTTGTAGAATTCAATAACAAAATGCCAAATACTTTGCCTGTTGTTACAATACAATGCGACTGGATAGATATTCTGAGGTAAGAATTTTTATTAAATGTTGTTAAGATGTAATAACTTTTATCTGATTGCCCGCGGCACAGTCCGGCGTATGCCAAATTTCAGCGAAATTCGTTTAGCCTTTTTGAAATATTTCGCCAGACATTTCAAACATCCACATAAAAATTCGCATTTATATTAGTAAGATAAAATTGTAACTGTCATGTCATTGTAAGTGAAGGTTTCCACTGCGAAAACAAATACAAAACATATTGTTATCTCACTCACTCTTAAAACACAGATTCAATTTAATTTCTTACTTTTCTTTACAGGCTTATGAAAGGTGAATTTTGGATATCATCAAAATGTAAAGATCAAACCAGCATCCATGACACAATAAAAACTTTAGTTAATCAAGCTGATGGAAAATTACAAATAAAATGTCCAGATAGTTATCAATATGTCTCTCATAGTAATTTGAGTCTTGTTTTAAAGCATTTAGGTTCAGGCTTAAAGGTGGCATTTGTTGCTCCAACCAAAACACATACTGTACATAAAAAAGCCTTGTTATCAATTAGCTCTGGTGAAAATGCTTTAGCAGTTTCATCTTGTGAGGAAGATAAACTGATCGTTTGGGATACTAGAACTGGTAAATTACTACTTTGTATGTTTAATAAATAATCTCTTTTAAGCAAAATACTAACTCTATTTTTTCTTGTATTTCAGATGAGATCCTTTTAGATTTAAAAGGTCATGGTGGACCAGTGTATAAATGCAGATTATTTCCATCAAATGTGGTTTTGATATCAGCCGGAGCTGATGGTTCTTGCAGGATTTGGTCTGCAGAGAGTGGGATAAATCCAGTCACATTGATTGGTCATAAAATGTCCATATCAGATTTAGCTATTATTGATAAAGGCAGAAATGTCCTAAGTGTTAGCAAGTAAGATATGTTTAAATTCAAACAAAGAACATGTTAAACTTATAGTAATCTAGCTGTCACTCATGAATTCTTCTGTGTGAAATTAAAAAAAAATAATAAAAAATGTAGCTCATGTGCCTTACCTATAATGTAGCTAGTTAATGATACAAGAATTTTAAAATCAGCTCAGTAGTGTTTGAGTTATTACAAATACATACAAAAATGCAAATATTTGCTCTTTATAAGATTAGTATAGATAATGACTTTAAACATTTCAAATGTAGACAATAGTGTCACAGTATGTACAATTTTGTTATTTGTTGGGCACTTTAGATACATAACTATTAATAGTGCATGTTTTTTAGAGATGGCACAGCAAAGTTATGGGATGTAGGTCAGTCTAGATGTATTGACAATATTCTGGAAGGGCATGGACCTATCAATTGCTGTGCTATAACCACCTCTGTTGATGAAGTTACCATAGACAATGATAGAGAGGTAATTCTTATTAATATTATAAATGTAAAAGTTTAGATGGATGGATGTTTGTTAGAATTTGTAGCCTAAACAGCTGAACAGATCTTGTTTATGTGTTAATTACAACTTATTTAAGAAATACTATAAAACAATTAATATAATCTTGTTTATCTTGTCTTTTTTAGATTGGTACTGGCAACAAATTGCTAGTTGCTGGTTATGAAAGTGGGTTAATTATCTGTGCCCATGTTGGCAAGAGAACAGAATTATACAAAGTTCAACTGGATTCTTCTGTAAATGCTTGTATAATTATTGATCAAGTTATTATTGCTGGCTGTAGCAATGGAAAGGTATGTTCTGCTTAAAAAGTTTGCCAGCTTTTTCATAATAATCTGTTACATTATAAAAAAAATCACGCCTCTTTTTTGTAAAATAATTGTATATGCAATAATTGATTAATTAATTTTCAGATTGTTTTTACACATCTTCAAGATGGTTCTATAATAAAAGAATTACATGAATCTAATAATCCGATCTTAAGTCTGACAACACTGGTCAATAATATGTTTATAGTGGGTCGCCAGGATGGGACATGTACAGTGTTCTCTATGAATGAATCCCACATTGCTATACGAGTTCAACTTACTGGATCTGACTGTGATGGAATAAGAGACATAGCATTTAACGGTAAATGGATTCTGGCAGCTTGTAGAGATGGCAACATCAGGAAGTATGACTTCAACCAAATAACTGTTCACTATAAGTGATATTTAAAATAAGAACTACCCTCAAATCCCTATTCAATAAGAATTAATGAACAAGTTTCTTGTATTAATAAAATATGAATACCATAATAAATTCTTATTTGTTTATTATTTTTTTGTTTGACAATTATTACAGCAGTCACACACTTGATGTTTTGTTGCACCATTCTAAAACAAATAATGTTAATTCAAAATCGGACAGAGAATTATAAACATTTAGAACTGCCACTAAAATTAGAGCCACAAAATATCACTAAATAAGATCATCTTTTATCTTGGATCAAATTACATAGTTAAGAACTGCTAATCTTATGGCCCTAGACTTGGGATATAAAGATAATGAGTAACCCTTTATCATAGATTAAACAATTTCTAACCTTAATATCATGATAATACTTTTTATAACTTTTTAATCCATCCAGATTACGCTGTTTCATATCCCTCCATAAAATTGTGTCTTGTTTGATATTTCTGTGCAACATTTTCCATTTCATTCTATTCTTTTCGATTGATTTTAAACTATTGTAACTTCCTAAATGTATAAATAATACGAGTTATGTAATATTGTAATAAACTAATTCAAATTTTAATAACAATAAACATTTTACATGTTACATATTTACCTCTTTGCTTGAGATATGTAATACATTTGCATGTAGAATTAATCCAAGAGCTCCATGTTTCTAAATTTTCGATAACATTTTCTAAACCTTTGCACCATTTTAAAATTTCGTATGCATCTATTTTTAGTATACCTACAAATATCACATTGATATAACAGTTAAATTTAAATGTAGCGGTATTCAATATTTCTCCTATTATAAAAAAATTGCCTAAAACATACATGACCGCTAGATTTTGTTGTTCAGTGGTTACGTATTTGGTTTTACATTCTAGTCTCCTGAGACGCTTAGTGGAAAAAGGTCTAAGAGAGGAAATATTCTTAAAATGCATACCATTCTGGTTTAATTTTGTTTTTTGTTCCGACGAGAAGAATTTTTCACATGAGTACGCGTCTGGTCTTTGTTCTGTAAATGTAAGGGTTGCATTAAATATATTACCTTTTGAAATTACTCGTTCGTTTACGGTTTGTTTTGTTATATTTTGATTACATAATAGTAAGCTATTACGATATAAGCGACATAATATGTCAGGGATTAAAATATCTGTTTTCTTTTACTTACCGTTTTTAAGACCATCGCCTCTGTCTTCCTTTGAAATTACGTCAAAAGGTTCAGTAATTAATTCCGCTTTTTTAACACTATCTTCAGGTTTCAATTGTTTAATACCAGTTTTATTTTCATTAATTTTGTTCTTCGCAATATTTCTTTTGTCGGAAACTTTTTTTCTCTCCGTTTTATTCGGTGTATTATCCTTCTTCAACAACCTATTATCTTTTCTTGGTTTTTCTTTGTCTTTGATTGTCTTAACAATTATCTTTTCAGGTTTTTTATCAACATTTACAGGTTTATTAGGGATTTTCCCCTTTTGGTCTTTCAATTTATTTTTATCAATGACTCGTGGTTTCATATCATATTTCGTTTCGCTAACTTTTCTTTCTTTTTTAATTTGTTTCTTCTCTTCAAATACTTTACGCTGTGGTTTATCATTTTTCTTTTTTTCTTCTGTTCCTACTATCTTACTTTCATTCTGAAATTGTGCAAGTAACATATCGTTGATATTGCTGTTACCCATTGACATCGAAGTAAGTTGTACATTTATTAGCATTTCTGAATTTTGTGAGGATACATAGCTACTTTCAGACGATATCCGTTTTTCATCTAATTCAAAAATTTTACCTAACGATGTAACTGATTTATTTACACTTGCAGTTACCTTAACTATAGGTAGGGCAATGTTTTGTGGCCACGATTCATCAGCATTTGCTGAAAGTGGTAAAAGAACATTTAAATTATGTTTTAAATGTAATATTTAGTTGTAACAAATACACTTACATAGTAAATTTTCATTTGGTGGAGCGAAGTCGATGTTAAAGTTTAAGTAATCACTTGACGGTTTTTGTAGTATCAACTGCTGGCTACTGTGAATAAGTAAGATATATTTAAAAACTATTTTTGTACAACAAAAAATTAATTACATTAACGTTCTACGAAAGAGAAATCACGATAGGATAACTTCCACGAAATCAAATGAAGTGTATTCTGTAAAACGAGAAAAGTATGTTAGTTAAATAACCAAATGAATACCTTAATTCTGATAATAATTTTTTGTTCACACCAATGTCTGAAAAAGATAATGTATTTAAGAAAATAATAATTAAACACCTTTTTATTCCTTCTACTTAGCTTCTAAAGCATCCTGAATAAAAAAAATCTTGACGATGATATTTAAACTTTATTACCCATATCAATAGCTGAAAATTTTACTTTTTTGTTTTCTTCGTTTGTTTCTCTTTCATCAAGCGTAGATTCGAGGGCAAAGTTTTCTAAAATTGTTAGTAGAAGATCTTGAACGATTAGCTCTCCTTCATTGATTTTATCTGATAAACTTAAATCTCCGTTTTCCTCGTATTCCTCGTCTTCGATTTGGGTAAAGTCCTGTCGTTCCTGTTTACTTTCGTTATCATTTACTACTGCTTCATTTTGTAAGTCCTCTTTTTCGTTATTCAATTGATTTTCAATTCCTAGAGATTCTTGCTTAGCGACCTCTGTATCATTTGGTTTCGTATAATTATCATCTAATATACTTGGCTCAGAACCAAAAACACCAGTATTTAATAAATCATTAATTATTTGTTTAATTATGCCTTCGTTTTTAATTAATTCATTCTGTAATTCATTAATTTTTGGGTCGTCTCCTTTATCGACGTCGTTTTCAATTGTTTCATGGTCTAATTCATTAATTATTCGGTCATCTCCTTTGTCTTCCATATCTACATCGGATATTTCTGATTGTTCAGTTATATTTAAGTCTTCGTCTCCATTGACATTATTTTCTTGTGATCCAGAATCTTCAGTAACTTGCAGTTTATTGTTAGTATTTTCTTCAAGTTGTGAAATCGTTTCTATCGCTTCTTCATCAGCGATGTATGTTTCATTTTTAAACGTACTGTCAGCAATTAAGTTATCTATAATTTGATCTACTAGCTTATTTAGTTCTCCTCTAACGTTATCTAAAACATGATCACTGTCACTACGAATACTAAGCAGGTCTACCGATTGCTCATCATTTGCGATTTCCCCAGATAGTAAATAATCATGGTTTTCTAGAATTTGCTGTTCTGCGTCTTCTAATACATTAGTGTAGATATCAACAATTAACTCGTTAATATTTATTTCTGTTGTATTATTACTGAGTTCTTCGGTACTTTTATTCTTTGATAAATGTGATGATAAGTCATCTTCGGATATTTTTTCCTCAGGCTCAACTATAGGCGGCACACATGTGATCTGAAATTGAATAATGTATAAATGTTGGAAAATATCTGCTAATGATATCAGTGTTACCAAAGTGATCTAAATAATAATTAAAAATCACCAGAACTTCGTCCACTAAGTCGTCAATTAAATCTAATACAGGTCCTTCCTCTTCCTCTAGGTCTGAAAAAATACATTTTTTCCTCATTGATTTAATCGTAGTAATAAATCTTTTTTTTTTAATTATTGTACATTAAATTCGCCCGCGACTCCTCCTCGTGAAATAAAAAAAAAACAAAAGCATGTAGCCCATTGGTCTATCTATATCTATGCCAAATTTTATCGAGATCCATTCAGCCGTTTAAGCTACAAACTAATAAACGTCCATTCATTTAAACTTTCGCAATTATAATATTAGTAAGAGTAAGATTAAATATGAATGAAATTAAGATTTTTTTAAAACTTTATTACCTAAAAGATTTTCTTCTAATAATTTGCACTCGGATTCATCCAATACTGTATCAATCCACACTGTAACCTGTCGATTAAATTATTTTGCTGCATTATTATGACTTTAACTATGTATATTTTCATTATGATATATGGCACACACATTTTAACATGTGTTATGTTTCTCAGATATGTACGACCTCCAGACCTTTAAAGCTGTGTAAATAATGTTTAAACGAATACCCATAGAGACAAGAGTTGCCTGTGAGTTTAAGACCGCGTAATAGTAAAAGTTTTAAAATTATTTTGATTCATTTTGAAATAACTTACTTGTCGCGAAATTTCCTCTAATATTACTTTATTTCTGATCGCTTTTTGATGTGATTTCATTTTACTTCGTAATATCGCGTCCAATTCTTCTTTAACGACGTTATTGATTTTAGCTAACCTGGGTCAAAACAGTTATTTGCAGATACTGTTATAAATGAATAAAAATTTATCAATCAAAATATGTTTTCTATGCAGTATAGGTTTAAGTTTTTTATTTGTTTTTAAAATGTAACTGCTAACAAACCTTCAACTTCTGCGTCGTTGTTTTATTAAAAATATGTGTAATTAAGGTAAATGGATTACCTATAATTAAGCGATAAATTCATTGGCTGTCTCAATTTCAGAGCTATTTTGTATCCAAAGATTGCGCAAAACATCTTTAGTTCTTTCATACGATTGTTTTCGGCAACTGAGTGCGACTTTTTAATTCTATTAACAAATATGTGTATCAATTGCTTTGGTATTACAACAGTTAGAATTATCTGATAAGTTTATCTATTTAGATATTAAGTAAGTATTCTTGAGCAAACGTGATGGAAAACTATCCAATAATCCTTAGGAGAGCAAAAGCAAAACGGAGACACCAATCTGATCAATAACCATTCTGGTAGTAATCTTTACAAGTTGGAGAATATGGATCGGATCTCTCTAATGAAAGAAGAAATCTCAGTTCAACTAACGAAACGCTCTTAATATAGTGAAAAGAACTTGCCTGTTTCGTGGCTTTCTTTTTCTACTTTCAAAACAATTCACAGCATCAGCAATTAGTACTATTGGTTTTTGATCCATCACTCTTTGTTTAAGACGCTCTACCTAAAGAATTAACAGAAAATACCGTTCAAACATTTAGAAAGAAAATGTATGCCTACAAATAGTATGCAAGAACAACATTCGTAAATTGGTTCAATTAAGTTACGTCGTTGTGATAATGAAACTTGTGAACAAAAATTAATATCCTGGATTAAACCATGTAATGAGCTTGGTTTTATCACAATTACTCATTCTGTGCTGATAATATAGAAGCCTTTCGCTTCCTTTATTATCAAAAACCGATATAGCTTATGTTTTAAAGAAAAATCGTTTTACCTAAGGAAAATGCATGAAAACGCTTATTTTTCATACATAGTACTATAAAATCCATAATTTTCAAACTAATAGGACATAATTTCTTGATTTTAGAATGAATTTAGTACCGTACTGACCATAAAATTAGGAATAACTGTGGCATTAGTTCGCCAAGTATCAATACACTGCCGTTTAGTAGGTACAGCTAACTCCGCGATCCTCATTGGACATCTTTTTGGAGACTTTCTCCTTTTGGTCTTCCTGGTTTTGATACATACAGGCTTTCTGTAATCAAGCACTACACTAGTTACGTTTTTTCGGTCAAGACCAGCGAGGTAGCTAGGATTTTTACTAATTTCATTGAAGAAATTTTACCTAAGAACTTGATGTATTTGATTCGACTTTGATGTTGATGGCTCATCGTAATTGTAATTAAAGGTATCGTATAGATCTTTATCATTTTTCTGTTTGAGTTTTTGCTGGCGAAGGATCGCGCCTTTAGATATTTCTTTAAGTACTGTTACATCACTCCACTGATCTATAAAATTTAACTCACTGCTGGCACTATTGTTAAGCGAATCTTCGTTATTCATTGCCAAAAAATGTTTTAAAGTGAATACAAGAAATTTTCATTTTATAGGGGACAATTCAAAATCTATGTGCCCGTGAAATATACTTTTTGTGTACATATAACAAAAACAAGGGGTTTTAACGCGGAAGAAGTTATAGCTTTAATTGTGACGAAACAATCGACTGTATTACTGATTATTGGATACACAATTATTATTAACATTAGGATAATCCTAGTTCAGAACTATCAGTGGATTACCAAAAATGGTGACCTCAAGTTAATCTGAAACTACAATAGATTATGTTAAACAAGATTTTTTTAGAGTTTTACTAACAAATACAATAAAGTAGTCTTGTAAGTATTTTAATAAATCGCTATCCATTAACTCTAATATTTGTTGGCTCTACGGACAAAATTCCACTACCGTTAAGATTGTCTGCAATTTAAAAATTGAAACGTCAGTGGTCTGGCAAGTTCTTGACAGAAACAGATGATTTTGTTGTTTGTTAAGTTGTCAATGTCACTTATCTTTATCTCTCTGACAACTGTCAATTCAGTTTGCAACAAATTCGCGTGCAGTCGACCCGAATACCAATAAGATTTAAAACTTGCGTATTTTTTATTTCTATTCTTAATTTTTGTATGAAAAATACTTTGTAATGCATTAAATAAAATATTTCAAGTTAGTGTTTTCTACGCGAGCCTCGATCGTTGTTGTATTTTAGTTAGTGTTTACAAATTTCTTTCTTTTTCGGTGTAAACAAAGAAACAGGAATTGTAAAAATGTGGTCGCATTTAGAACGAGGAAGTTCACCTGTAGATTGGTGCGAATCCAATTATTCTATTTCTCCAGTTATAGCAGAATTTTTTAACACTGTAAGTATTGTTTTGATTGGGTTTTGTAATTCGAAAAATAATTTAATATGATGTACTTTCCTTCAAAAGGAATAAAAATTAGTAGTTGTTTTTTCATACTTAATATATGTTTATTTACAGGTAACAAACGTAATTTTCTTCTTGTTTCCGCCTGTATTAATCCATCTTTTTCAAGAATATTCTAAATTCGTCAACCCTGCAATTAATGTGTTGTGGGTCCTGTTGATGGTTGTTGGCTTAAGTTCAGCTTATTTTCATGCTACTCTCAGCTTAGTTGGTAAGTGATATCTGAACTTCAATTTTAATTAAATGTACAAGAATGCAATGGCTTTTGTTAGTGTAAATTATTGAAATGTCAAATAAAATTCGCCATACTTAAATAATTTATTTCAAGGTAATAATTAAAAATTTTCTCTGTTTAATATGTGTAAAAAGTTGCAGTATATGAGGCCTTACTGGCTAAATTGCTATTTTTAGCATTTTTAAATACATTTTAGTCTAGTAAAATAATTTGATTTACAGTATTATTTTTTTAATTCTTTCAATTTAAATGATAAATATTTTTAGGCCAGTTACTGGATGAGCTAGCTATTCTGTGGGTTTTCATGGCTGCTTTTGCAATGTTCTTCCCCAAGCGGTATTTTCCAAAATTTTTGGGTGGAAACAGGTATGTATATTGCTATTTATATTCTAAGACATTGTATTGCATAATCCTACTAAAGCTTCAATTGTCTATTTTAATTTTGTAAAAAAAAGTTGTTTTCATAGAACTCATTTTATTTGTTTAAATTATGTAGATACGGTTAACATTTTCTATTTTACTTTATTTTTACTAACTAATTAGAAAAATTATGACAATACAAGAGTAGATTCTATCTTTTCATTCTTCTTCCCACTTCTACCAGTTTAGGGGGTACTAGCGCCCTGGGCGATATTTCTACCGCGCCCCCTTTGTTAGCGCCCTGGGCATTATCTAACTCCATCCATAACACGCACTTTGATTCTGTCTGTGTTATTCAATACTTTTAGTAACAGTACTTAAGTCCTGTTTGCGAAAGAAAACCGAGGCCCAATTTGAAAGCCGAAAATGTCTAGTGAATGACTTCTCAATTGGATGATTGTACAACTTTTATATGTTAAATTTGTTGATTGATTCATTGTCAAGGTGTGGGAGTCTAGGCAATCCTACAGATCATGTAATCTATGAAAAGATTATACTAGTTCTATCGCAGTCTTTTACGTGTATATTTGTTCCTTGGTAAATACATCGTGAAAGATGTATACAACATTTGGAAGTCAGTGGTAGAGCCCGCTTTAACATATTCGCACGAATGGGTCGTCTCGCCTGGTGCAATACCACCACCACACAGAAGACAGGCGTGAAGTGGGAGAAAATTCACGTTTCGTCTGATGAATGTGGTGCAAGAGGTCCAACTTTAGTCTCTTTTCCTTCCGCTTTAGGGAACGGGGATTTGACGGTTGAGAAGACGTATAGGAAGGAGAAACATCCTCTTTATGTGCGTGTCCTCCTCTGTCGATTAAGGGTAGGCAACGCTTCCGCTGTTGTGAATTTCTATGGGCAAAAGTCGCTTTGCCATTTGGCAGATTCAGATGGACGCTTGCTCGTTTGTCACCTTATGATATAAAAAAGTCAGAATAGCGTATTTTAGTCCATGTCTTGACTTATGTTATCAGTTGATTGTAATACCAGTAATTAAATCGCGTAATTAACTATCATCTTCTAGCGTGTACCTTTCGCTGTTTGGCTGAAGTCGTTGATTAAAAACTTAGATTGTGGCCAGTTGCGTATTACGAGTTTCTTTGCCTAATCTAAAAAAAAAACGAAGCGTTATAATAAATGTTGTAAACGCAAGTTCTTTATACTTTTATGCATTACCTATGAATTGTTGTAAAAATAGGCAAATCAGTTATTTATCGTTCAATCTAATCGATTACGTTCGTTCATAAGTGTATTTAATAATATTATTCAGAACATTGTAGTTGCCACGGCTTTAGTGTGACAAATTATGTTTTTATAGCACACGGCATATTAAACAGGGCCACTTTGATTCTAATAATCCATACATGAATATAGTTTTATAAACTTAGTGTATTGTGACTCAAGCCTCAAGGCTATGCGGGAAGTTATAGTACTACAACTCAAGTGAAGTCGTGTGAAAACAAATGCTCCCATAATCGCTTTCCGCTCTTCATTTAATTGATAACATTTTTTCCGTTTTGATTCCAAATTTGTTTTAAATACGTTCAAATCATTACTGATTATACGAGTAGCGGCTTCCTATTAGTTAAAGAAAGAAAAATAATATAATGCAATGATAATAAAATATACAAAATTGCTTTTAAAAAGATTTGAATGCTTTTATGGATAATGCGTAACATTTATTAAGTGAAGTTTCATCGTCGAAATATATGTATAAACACATATTGCCATCTCTTTCATTTGTCTTAGAAAGGACAGAGATAAACAATGTGTTTGACAGTGGTGGAAATTCACGCTACATACTACGCACTTTCCTTGAAGGGAGTGCATTGCGTTGTATCAACATCTATTTCTGTCGCGAAATGTTGCGTAAACATGATTGCGATTTAAAAAAAAAAGTCCGTCGTAGTTGTTTCATCACCGTAACGAAACACTTCGTATTTAATACGTCAAATGTGTCGCTACTGTGTTCGCTTTATTAAACTAAATTCAGGTACAACTTGACCACAATAATATGATATAAACCGAGAACGAGTAGTCAGCTTGTACAGTTAACACGTTAAAAATATTGAGTTATGTAGCTTCTCTCAAAGCCACATTTTCACATTATATGTACGAGTAAACACATGAAAATCGAACGTATTGAAAACAAATCGCTTAAAAACATATGCATGTATATAGCGCGAACACGCTCGTAATATTATTTTTATAGTTATTATTTACATTCGATAAAGATAACTAACTGCATTGGTGTTCAGCTAGTTAAAGTTATTTTATTTCACGGCAATAGATGCTTCGTCAATTAGTCCACGTTAACCTTCACGGTTCTTTTTGAATCGATAACATTGCACGCTATGAATACATTTATAGCTTACGTATGCTATTTGAACGTTACTGGTAATTCGTTAATTACGTTATGAATACAACTGTTTAGCAGTGTTCAGCAATTCATAATTGTTTACGGAAATAAACAGAAGTAGAAAACGTTTTATCGTCTCCCTCATTTTTATTGAATAAGAAAGAGATACTAACATGTTTAGCACCAAGGACGGATCCAGCTTTGGCGCCAGTCGTGGTCAAGTCAAGCGCTTGACAAAATATGTAAATATACTTTGTTAAGCTCTTAACCAATCAGCTCAGGGGAGTCATGACCCCCATGAACTCCCCCTACTGGATCTGCCGTTGTTTTGCATACGAGTGTAGCCGAAATCCACTGTTGTAGCCTCGATTGGCTTTTTCTTTTTGCATATGTTGTACCATACCCCTTTCAAGACCTCAAGATTGTTTATTCCAAAATTTTATTTTTTAACTCCTTAGAATGTGCAAGTATACTTGTTTACGCATCTTTAATTATTTTAAGTTGACAAAAAATTGATATACGTTTGAAATGGTACAGCGATTCAACTCAACGTAACAAAAACTTGAAAATCAAGTCTCGGTGAGAATGTAACACTGTTTTAACAATAAAATAACAACTTTTGTAATATGCGTCATCAGTATGTAATATGAACACTGAATATAAATGTAAAGTAAGAAAATGAACAGTAATACAAGTTGTTTAATGCAACTGATCTTTGCCTTCGACATTTTATATTGCTTAGAACAATCGAAATTACTTTAATTTGAATGACTTTTTCACATAATTAAAGAAAAAAAGGTAGAATAATTCCCAGTTATAGTTTTACAGAGGATTGTGATAATAATTACAAAGATTCTATATAACTTATAGATAACTAGCTTTCGCCCGCGACTCCGTTCGCGTGGAAGTAGAATAAACAAAAGTGAGTAGCCTATTTGTTCTTCCAGACTATCCTCTACGTCTATGCCAAATTTCATCTAGATCCGTTCAGCTGTTTAGGCTACAAACTCTAACAAACATCCATCCATCTATCCATGTAAACTTTTACATTTATAATATTAGTAAGATTTTTTTTGTATAAATGCGTCAACCCTATTCAGTTTGCATGTCTGTGCCCCTATATCAAGCACGTCATCTAAGCGTACTTGAATTCTAAATCACCCTTGCCCCGGTGCATCGAGTGCTCGTGTACCGATTATATTGTCATTTTACGCCGTTACTAATTTGATAAGAATTACCAACATTTATTGTTAATGCACGATTTGCTAGATTTACACCATTTCGGTTCAACTGCGTATGTTCTAGGCGTAGTGTTTTGTTTATCGAGAACGTTTGACGTCACACATATCCGAGAAAAACATAACACATTTTTGGATTTTCATATATGTTTTGTGTGTGTGTGATTTAAATTAATTATATCTTAATGTAATTTTCATGTATTTTAACAAAAACTACACTGAACGTATAGTTTTTAATGTAATAAACATTTTTAATTCGGGGATTTTCCTACGCATATCATATGATTATCATTTTAATAATTGACCGATTAAACTTTGTTTGTAAATGTATTATCGATGACATACTTTGAAAACGTATTATCCTTTGTTATGTTATCTAAACTTCCTAAGTACGCATAAAAATTATTACCTTACATTATCTATTTTTATATACTTTGTTGTATACGTTTGCCCATATGGGCTTTGTTGTGCACGCTTGTCCATATTCCCATATGAGCAAGCGCGCCCAACCAAACTCAATGAACAAAGCACAGACTATTTAACAAAACTATTTAACTACGGCTTTGACGCCAAAAATCAAACAAATAAATGGGACCCAACTGTAACACTATCTTTCGGATAAAAAAGGAATTATCAAAATTGGTCCACCATCGGCGAAGTTATGCCGTAACACATATAAAAAAATTAAAACATACAAACGAATTGAGTACCTAATAATAATGATCAACATGAAAAATTAAATTTTGTAGTATTAGATCTTGTCAGTCGTCTAGCAATTTTGCCATTAATTTATTAAAGTAATTGCTAAAAGTGGCTTTTATATTGATTGATCAGATTGACTTAGATGGCGTGGCAGTGCCCCGTTAATTCGAACACAACTTAACCCTTATATGCATGATGATGCATTTATACATCAGTCTTCTTTCCACACCTTATAGATTATTTAAAAAAAGAATTGTCTTTATTCTTCCCTTGATCTATGTTAAATTTACTACCCGTTTCGATTTAGGTTATTTTCAAAAGAAAAAATCACGCATAAGGGTTAACCGGCCTCTTAATATATTTCCAGGAGGTTGCTGTCGTTTTACTGCAGCTTGTTCGCTGTGTTGTCGACTGGTTTCCTGGTGATGCACCCTGCAGCCAATGCCTTTGCCCTGATGACCCTCGTAGCGCCGGCTCTGTTCTTCTTATACAAGGAACTCAACAGGTAAGTTCAATGACTGAGAGCAATAACCCGACGGACTTTTTAATGTTCAGAATTTACCGTTACTTTGCTGTCTTTGGTATAGTTAATGAAAATGCAGAATTGTTTATATAATTGTGATTTATTATGAAGTTATTTGCATACATATGTATATAGCTTATTATCTACGTTTAGTACTGCTGCAGAAGTATATTATGCGCATTCAGTGAGAACAATACGCAGTACTGATATCATACCAAATATCACGAAGTCTATAAAATCTTGGCGCGTCGTTAACAATTATTTTTATTTACGAGAATAATGTTTTTTTACGTTTAATTATTGCACAACATTAGTTTTTATTACATGGAAAAAATATTAAATATTTTTCTTTATCTTGAGGATACATTAAAGAAGTATCGCTATATGTTGCGCTTGAAATCCTTCCAAAATATACAAAGCGTAAAAAACCTTGACTTTGTCCAGAGTCCAGTAACGAATTCTTGTATCTGGTATATTATGTAATACCGTTTTGCTCCAAGAGAATAGCGTCCTAGTTATTGGTTCATTGCATTAAAAGTTTTATTTTATTCTTTTGTCTTCATATTATTTGGTCGGAAGTATGATTTAAAGTTTTAATTCTAAGAAAATTAAAATTTATGTTTGTTTTCAGAGTAAAATGCCCTCGTGTATACAGACTAGGTCTGCGCTGCATGGCTGTTTGCTTACTGGCTATGTTCTGCTGGATCATTGACAGAATGTTCTGCGACGCGTGGCTCTCCATCGACTTCCCCTACCTGCACGGAGTCTGGCACATACTTATCTTCATAGCCAGTTATACAGCGCTAGTTCTCGGCGCGTACTTCAATGTGTCAGAAGAAAGACCCGAACAGAAACCCCAACTGAGGTATTGGCCGAGAAACGACTTCGAACTAGGTATACCTTATATTGCAATCAAACATCCTCGCAAGAAAGATAAGAATTTAACTATCTAGGTTATTTTTAGTCTGTGTGATTTATATGCACGTAATTAAGCCGGTGTTGCAATATAAAAGTGTTTTTAGCTTTTGATGTGGATCTGCTTTTTTTTTTATAAACTGCCAGTTTAGATACAAAGTTTTTTTTTCGCTTTAACACCTTGTGCAATGAGTCTGACTAATTTTTATATGAATTATTATAAATAATTAACAATCAGTTATTATTAAAAAAAAATATTGTAGTCATTTATGATTGGATACATAATTGAGTCGCGCAAACACGAAATAAGATATTGATATGTATTGTAGAAGAGAAATAATTACTTTTTAACATTTTATTAGGCGACAGTTTAAAATAAAAAGGTTTTGTAAATGGTTTTGGTTTATTTGTATTCTAGATTTTATTTATTTTGTCTTATTTTTGAAATCGGCAAAACTTGTATATTTGTTTAAATTGATCTCTTTGATTAATATTTATTAATTAAATCAAATTAAAATTTTTCAGTATTTTCTTGCAATTTTATATTAGAATTTTCCAAAGTTCATTTACGTTTATATGTAAAGTTCTAGTGCCAATCTGTGATTGTTTAGACTTAATATATTTATATTGGTATTTTGTGCAGATATGTGTGCTTTTAGTTTGTCTAAATAAGATTGATTAGTTTGATAAATGACGCACATGAAGTATCGAATAAAATTTGTATAAAGGGAAATGCCGTACTTAATAGACGGGTATCATAGTGACGAAGAAACACGCATAGCGAATAACTATGAACTATCGATATTCCGTTTATATAACATTTATCCAACATAACTAAAATTATAATTTAATTAGAGTAATGAATATAGTGTAGAGAATATAGTGATGACAATAATAATAGCGAAATCCAATTCGATTATGTAGTAACAATAAATATTTATTAACTCATTCTTTATTTTGCTTTCATAGGTCATTATTAATTTGAATAAAAAATGGGTTTATTTTAACCTATAAGTTCTATGAGAAAAAACTGAAAAGATTCATAACTTTTACACAACCTAATAAATTGTTAAATGACTTGTCGAACTAATCACCCTTATTTAGACAAAGCATAAGTATTATACATTTGAAAGAGTACTGCACTATAGTTTAATTTAATTATACATATATATTAAATTTATTAGGATTGAAAAAGAAAGGTTTAAAGCACAGAAGTATAAAGCAATACTCCTTTTTTACCAAAATTTCACTATAAAATACCGGTTAAAATGCGTTTACTATTGTTGCTTTTACCATCTTTTATTTTTATAGCCTTTGAAGAAATTATTTACTGTACAATGTAATGTGGATTTACCTGAGATATAGTATAGTTAGTGTAGTATGAGATATAAATGTTCCGTCTGACACGTTAGTATACAAATATTGTTATTTGGTGGTATACAAATATTGTCATTTGGTTGTATACAAATATTGTCATTTGGTTGTATACAAATATTGTCATTTGGTTGTATACAAATATTGCTATTAATTTGTTGTATACAAATATTGTCATTTGGTTGTATACAAATTTTGCTATAAATTTGTTGTATACAAATATTGTCATTTGGTTGCATACAATTATTGTCCTTTGGTTGTATACAAATATTGTCATTTGGTTGTATACAAATATTGTCATCTGGTTGTATACAAATATTGTCATCTGGTTGTAAACAAATATTGTCATTTGGTTGTATACAAATATTGTCATTTGGTTGTATACAAATATTGTCATTTGGTTGTATACAAATATTGTCATTTTGTTGTATACAAATATTGTCATTTTGTTGTATACAAATATTGCTATTAATTTGTTGTATACAAATATTGGTTTTGGAACAGGTGACGGTTTATATAGTTTTACAGAGATAACTAATAGTATTTGATGCTTGAAAACCATGTCTTGTTTTTTAAATTTATAAATCTGATATATTTTTATGGTATTATTTATGTAAATTAACTTTAGACATTTTTTGCATATAAAATATAACAAAGGGTAGACATTCTAATTCACTGCAGTTAAATTCATTTGACATATTTCTGTTTGTAATTTTTTGTATTTCTTGAATTTGGTTTTATTTAAGTCCATGGTTTAGGTTAAATAAGTTTAGGTTTTCAGTTTGCAACTTTGTGATACAAATATTATATAAAACAGCTGGTTGAAGGTCTTTTAGAAGGTTTATTTATGTTTAATTTGAATTGAACAATATTATGTTCCCATATATTATAATACAAATGAGTAAAATTTAGAAAAATGTTTATTGGTTTATACCAAACAATATACCAGTGATTTCGTAATAAACATTTTTTATTTGGCAAGTGTATTTATTTCTTACAAAATATATCATTTTAAAAAAGGAACAAAAATTTTCAGTCACTTAACCATAGGAAAATATGCAATTTAATATCAGTATTACAAGTATAAAAGTAAAAAATAAGAGAAGACATAAAAGGAATGCAGATCTTAACAATCTCAACACTTTCAATGCTATAAATTCATTCACCAATAATGCACACTAAATATGCTCAGATTTACATAACAGTAAAACAATTCAAATGAATGAGGAGGCAAAACTTTAAATGTAATAAAACAACAGAACTGAGCATCTGTAGTGGGCTTTAATGTTACAAAGGTCATGTCCATGGCATTGAAAGTGTTAAAAAAATCTTATTTCTTATCAGTCTGAATCTGAAGAGACATCATGATGGTTTGTGTGCAGACTTGATGCATTGTATTTCTTCCTTGGGTAAGTGTTTCCTCCGCGGTAAACAACATGATTCTTTTCAGTTTCCAATATTTTCACCTCATGCAGTAACTGAGGTTTGTCCATCAACTTTTGCAATTGATCCCAAATGAATATTGCTAAGTTTTCTGTTGTACTAACCTGTAAAAGTAAGTAAATGTATCTACAAAAAATACATTTATGGAGAGAAATACATTTAGAGGAGTAAATAGTAAGTCATTTAATCTTTAAATTAATGGTTTGCATTTATTGTTAATATCTATACTAATATTATAAAGAGGAAAACTTTGTTTGATTGTAATGAAATAACTCAAAAACTAAAGTGAATTTTTGTGTTTTTATTTAATAAAAAATAGCTACATTGTCAGTGAGTTACATAGGCTATTTTTAAATTTCACACGGATGGAGTCGCCTGCGATAGATAGTTTATTATATAATAAAATGGATGCCTTCATGTTTATAAGTGACGTTGAAAAACTCTAAATCATACTAAAAATATTGAAATAAAAATTGAAAATATAAAAGTAGCTTCTCTTAATTGTATAATCAATTATTAAATTTATAACTTATATTTTTTTCTACCTTAAAAATTCATAATAATTCTTACCACAGCTTTAAAATAAGGAACATCTTGGTCAAGATTTTTATGATCAAGCGGTTCCATTATAGCTTTCTGCATAAATTGTTTCAAGTCATGTACATTCATCACCATCCCTGTTTGTGGGTCAACTGGCCCTTTGACTGTTACCAACACTGAAATATAATATGGTGTTGTTATAATTTTTGGGAAAAGTTAATTACTTGTTATTACTGTGAAAATAAATGTCGTTATTTAAGATTAAATTTAAGAAATTTGTAAAGAAAATAAAATCTTAATATAATTTTTTTTATATTATAAGGTGGCAAACGAGCAAGCGGCCACTAAATATAAATGATAATAAACTAGACTACTGATGTAAATTGTAAATGTAAAATAAAATGTGACTCGTTAATTGTATATTCTTAAGAGAAAATAAATATCTTAAACCACAATTGGTCTAAGCTAAATCTTACCAACATAGTTATGTCCATGCCCATTAGGGTTATTGCATTTGCCATACAACTTTTTGTTATCTTCATCACTTAAAAATGGGCTAAAACAAAACGATTAATCTAAATAAATTAAAAAAAAATCATCACAAATCTTTAAACGTAGATAAACATCATATATTAATTACCCTTGACAAAAGACATCTTATCAAATTCTGATAGATTTAGGAAAAATAGTTTAATGCAGGGTCAGAGGCCAGAAATGTTAACATAAGTTTTCTTACCTGTGTAGTCGGTGGCAAGAACTGAAAGTTTCTCGTCTGGTGATAGACACAATAGGTAACGACGACATATTTAATTTATTATTATAAAGACATGAATTAATTAAATATCAAAAACTTTATCAGACAACATTCAAGTGTACCTCACTTCTTTAATTTATAAACTGAACTATTTAATTTAATAAAACAAAACATAATCTAACTAAACCTTTGACATTTGATTTGATTAATGAATGAATGATAATTTGACAGATAGATTTAAAGTTTAGTTCAATACCAAATGTTTGCGAAGATTGTTTTTTGAGCAAGTACCTAAAAAATCTGTAAATCATATGAAAAAAATGTATGACAATTTGCATTATATACAAAATTAACAAACGCATTTTAACAAGGAATGTATTGACATTAAAACTAAACTAAGTTAAAAAAAAAAATCGATGTTCTGATGTCAAATGTAAAACTGCAAGTTTATATTTTCTGTGGCTTTCATTCGTTCATTACAGGTTTTAAAACTTCTTTTAAAAGTTTTTATCATTCTCATTCATTGGACTTTGACTGACTTTTTAACCTTTTTGAAGAATTTTCAAAGTTTTTAAAATAGGAAGAAGATAACTTTTATAATGTTTTCGCCGTGCAGCAGGCATTTATTTTTTTCTACACAGGTAAGTTGATAGTTCTGTGTTTTATGTTTCGAATACAACTTTGCAAATATAAATTACAATCTACATTTACATATTTTTCAGCTTCGACGATTGCAGAGTACTCTCGTCTTAGCAGAACATAACAACGAAGGCTTATTACCTGTCACACAAAATACTTTGAGCGCTGCGAAGAAAATTGGCGGAGACATCTCCGTCCTTGTAGCAGGAACTAAATGTGGCCCAGTACGTAGCTTATCTGTTTGACAATGCTAAGTAGAACGTTATCTAATTTTTTTACTTTTAACATAAATTAATGTTATAAACCTTACTAAAAATACTTTTCAATTTAAAAATATTAGGACTATTATTTATTAAATATATTTGTTTTCTTAGGCTGCAGAACAGATATCCAAAGCGAGTGGTGTATCGAAAATTTTAGTAGCTGAGAGTGATGCATTCAAGGGCTTCACCGCTGAAACTCTGGCACCTCTCATATTAGCGACTCAGAAACAGTTTAGTTTCACACATATCTTAGCACCAGCGACTGCTTTTGGCAAAGCTATCCTGCCTAGAGTAGCAGCCAAGTTGGATGTCTCACCTATAACAGATATTATTGGTGTAAAAGACGCAAACACCTTTGTAAGAACTATTTATGCAGGTAATATACAAATATATTAAACTAGGAATATAAAACACCTAACGGTATTATGGCACAATATAGAACTAATAACTTAAAGACTCATTATCAACTTGCCCTTATCTCTACACAAAGGGTCGGCACAGTATGTCCTGCTACATTTCTATCAGCTGTCATGTCTGAATTCAATCCCTTTTTAAGCACCTCTCTTTCACACAATCAGGTATAGAACATGGTCTCTCACATATGAACATTTTTCATATTTTTAAATCCAGCGCAGACAAAGTCGTGAACAAAACCTAATGTTTTGTCATTTTTTTGCAGGAAATGCTATCTTAACATTAGAGGCAAAAGACCCAATTAAAGTGGTAACAGTGCGAGGCACTGCTTTCGCTCCTGAGCCACTGGAAGGTGGGTCGGCAGCGGTTGAGAAGGCTCCGGAAGGTGACTACAAGACTGATCTTGTGGAATGGTTGTCTCAAGAACTGACAAAGTCAGACAGACCTGAGTTAACTAGTGCCAAGAATATTGTATCTGGAGGTAAATGTAATCTAATTTAGTATTTAATGAAAAAAAAGTTAGAATCGAGTTTTTTTAAGACTATTATGACATTTTTTGTAATATTAATCAGTTGAGGCAATTTATTTGTTTACTTTTTATTGATATAAGGAGCATTCCACACAAAGTGAATGAACATAATGACTGTCCTTTTGCATGGAATGCCCTTAAGATGTTTCTAGAGATTATATTTTATGTTATGTAATTTCCAATTTAACTATAATCGTTATTTGTCTCTTTTAAGTTATCCATACATTAGTTTAACTGTATAATTTCTAACCAGGTCGTGGTCTGAAGTCGGGTGATAATTTCAAGCTATTGTACGAGCTAGCGGACAAGCTGAACGCGGCCGTGGGCGCGTCTCGTGCTGCTGTAGACGCTGGCTTCGTGCCCAACGACCTGCAGATCGGACAGACCGGCAAGATTGTAGCACCTGTAAGTGTTTCTTATTTAAAAATCTTAATTGAGATAAACTCTAGTTTTATTTTAGAAGATAAATGATTAACTCAACGCATTGTGGACTTTTGAAGCTTATGAATAGGAAATAGGAATGTTTATCAAACTACCGATGAAGGTTGATCAGGATTTCCCTGTCCCACACTTAGTTATCTCTAAATCTTTTTGATATATAAAATAACTAGCTTTCGCACGCGACTCCGTCCGCGTGGAATAAAAAAGAAGTGAGTAGCCTATGTGTTCTTCCAGACTACCCTCTGCATCTATGCTAAATTTAATCGAAATCCGTTCAACCGTTTTGGCTACAAACTCTAACAAACATCCATCCATCCATCTAAACTTTCGCATTTATAATATTAGTATGATATTTATTTAAAGTGAAAGAACATAAGAAAGGGATAATCAGAAAAAACAGCTGTTTCCCATTATCCATTTTTTTTGGCAACTAGAAACATTCAAATATTAAAGCCTGTTTCTACTACACCTTTAAAATTAGTCATGTGTAATGATCGCAATTTGATAAATGAAAATCTAGTTAGATAGATTATTTGGTTAATGAATAGTTATGAAGGAATTAAAACTCGCATATTCATGTAATGATTTATTTTTCGATATAATTGTAATGACATTACGACCTTGTTCTAGCTCCTGATAACAGTTAACCTAAAGATAGTGTATTGTTTATTTTAACTGATAACAAATGTTTACATTGTTATACTATTTGTCTATCAGTAATTTTAAAATCGCATTTTTTTTATAAAATAATATACTGTACATTTTTGTTAATCAACTTTTAGTAATTAAATTTGGAATAAATATCTTACTTTTTAGTAATATTCTAAGTGTGTAAGTTTGGATGGATGGATGTTACTACGTATATCCATAAAGGCGTAAAAGATCTCAATAAAATTTGACACAAATGTAGAATCTTAAAAAATATATAGGCTATGTTTTTTCAATTTTGCACAGATAAAGTCACGGGCAATAGTTAGTATTTTTAATGAATAAGTTTTGTCAATGAAAACTACATTTTACATACAATGTTTCAGAATCTATACATTGCGGTGGGAATAAGCGGTGCTATACAACATCTTGCTGGAATGAAGGATTCCAAAACAATTGTTGCCATCAACAAGGACCCGGAAGCTCCCATCTTCCAGGTAACTTGAACATACTTAAAACTTTAAAAATAATTATCTAATAAAAAAAAGAACCCAACAGACTAACTAACAATGGAATTTCTATACATAAAAATAAACTTACATTTACGCGCCATGTCGCAGACAAAGATTTAAAAAAATGGAAAACCATTTTTTCATTTTTTTTAATCTTTGTCGGCTACGTAACAGATTTTTAAAAACCATGAAGATTTTTTTTCCACATCTATTTGTAGTAATTATTTGACAATTTTTTGTCTCTGTTTTAGATGAATTTTAAATAAACAGCGAATTTGTAATTTAGTCAATGTTACTAATGTTATAAATGCGAATGTTTAGATGGATGTTTAAACTACCAAATTGTTTTATTACCAAACTATCGTTTGTGGCCTAAACTGCTGAACTCATCTCAAAAAAATTTGGTTCAAATGTAGAGCATAATTTGGCAGAACACACATAGGCTACTTGCTTTTCTTTTTTAATGCCACGCGGTGTCGCGGGCGAAAGTTAGTGATATAATAATTTTTTAATTTCCAGGTGGCAGATTACGGTTTAGTAGCGGACTTGTTCAAGGCAGTTCCGGAGCTAACCTCAAAGTTGTGAACAGTGAATACTTTAGTGTTAGGCGTAACATTTTATAAATCATTTTCTATTTAAAGTTTATATATATTCGTATTGAATCATGTAAATATATACGAGAATTATTTTTATTATATCGTATTATTATGAAATAAAAATCTCTATTAAATATTGTGTTTTATTAATAAATTATTTGACAGTAATTATGTTTTATTATAATAAGGTGACTAACCAAGCTGCTACTTAAATAGCGAAGCACTACTGCCCATAGACATCTTTAATTGCAGATGCGTCGGCTTGAACAGAAAGAGGATAATTTCCCTTCTTATACGTCCCCCTCTACGTCAAATCCACTTCTCCTTCACATCCCTTATGAGGGACAGAAAGAGTTCAATCAATTAAGCCACCGGCATAAACACTCAGCAGACGGAACGCGGAATTGATCCCACTTCACGCATTTCAATATGATCGCGGTATTGCAGGCAGCGAGCCGACCCATTTGCCGTTGTTGGCGTCTCTCACCGTTAAAATGCTGTTTTCCAGTATAATTTTGTCACATTTAAAAACCGCTTGTTAACGATCAAACATGTTTGACAAAATTGTTTGATCAAGCGAATCTTCAAACATCTAAATGGACAAAAACGACAAATAATTCATAAATAAATCGTCAATTGCATATCTATACATATCAAACATTTTTAATTATTAATGTAGTATAAAAATTGTTTTTATTTAATCTACTCGTCAACAGATGGCGTTAAAAATAGTTGACTTCTAACAAAATAAACGGTTTCGCTTAAAATTTTTGATGTTTTGATGCAAATTATTCTTATAAGTATTAAGACTATGCGATTCTTATATGCATATTAAATCTCTCTTCTCCACATGGTGACATTAGAGCTTAAAGTTTGTGAAGATGTCTTCGCCTTAAACTTTAATCTTTAATGTAAAGTCAATAGACAATAATGTCTATAATTTATACAAATAAACTAAAACCATTTACTAAACCAATGAAAACGTAAAATAAATATCCAGCGAGTATCATAATACTTGAAGAAATTTATTAAAACTTACGAGCAGTCAGTGCGATAAAAGTAGACACCTACTTATAAAACCAACAGGCGGTAAGTGCGCAGTCAATCATTGTAGTAATGATAGTATCTGCCGCGCCGCAAGAGAGAGATGCGGCGAGCGGCGAGCGGCGGCCTCGTTAGCATATTATTTGCGGACAGAGAGCGCGCGCGGGCGGGGGCTCCGGCGAGCGGGGGCGGAGTCGCCGAGACCCCGCCCGCTGCGCCACGCCCGCCTCGCCGCGCGCCTTGAACCGTGACTCCACTAGCGTCGTCGACGATGCCGCGGCCGTCGCGCGACTCCTACTCCGAACAGAAGCCTCCTTACTCGTATATTTCTCTAACGGCGATGGCCATCTGGAGTTCACCAGAGCGCATGCTGCCTCTATCGGAGATATACCGCTTCATCACGGATCGGTTCCCATACTATCGACGCAACACGCAGCGCTGGCAGAACTCGCTGCGCCACAACCTCTCCTTCAACGACTGCTTCGTGAAGGTGCCGCGGCGGCCCGACCGGCCCGGCAAGGGCGCCTACTGGACACTGCATCCGCAGGCCTTCGACATGTTTGAGAACGGCTCGCTTCTGCGTCGCCGTAAGCGCTTCAAGCTGCACAAGGGCGAGAAGGACAACCTCAACGCGGAGCTGGCGGCACTCGCGAGCTTCAACCGGCTCTTCCTATCGACTCAGGGCGCAGCGCGCGTGCCGCCACTAGAACCCTTCCACGTAACGCAGCCGGACACTTGCATGGTTAAAGTGAAACCTAAGAAATCATTTACTATCGACAGTTTATTATCTAGTGACGGTGAAATAGAATCGAGTGACGATTCCGTGATGTTAGGTAGCGAAGGCAGTTCTTTGTTGCCGTACCAACCCGAGGTGCTGGCGATGGCCGCCGCGATGTGGCCCACACCCATCTGCTTTCAGATTCCCTTATTCAATCCTTTACAGTTTACACTCCCCTTTAATCCAAGTATACATAATTTTGGAGCCTACCAATTGACAGAACATCGGTAGTTTTTGTAGCTTTAAAATGTGGCAACTGTTTGTTGGTGTTGCTTTTTAGTCATGAAATGTTAATATTATCATATTTATTTAATATTTTAAAATTGATTGTTAAGTGAGGTTATAAATATATTTTAATTGGACACAACTAGCTAATTGCTGGTACCAATGATTTCACTTATATATACTACTTTTAAGCAATTATCTACTATATTAAAATATTATCATTTGTTAAAATAAAACTACGCCTCTAAATATTAATTGAACATGCTTATTTATGTTGTATTCAAAACTGCATTCGATTTATGTAAATATACTGTACTGTAAGATATTAAATTTTCTCATTTATAGCATTTGTTGCATATCATGATATTCCATTTCCATTAACACAGAAACTATGCAGAAACTTTGTTATTGTTGACTCAAACTTGATAACTGAAGTGCGTCACATTGACATCTATAATGTTCGAAACCCTAATGCTCACAACTTTTTGTAAATACGCTAATACGTTACTATTGAAATTGTTTATATAATATTATTTATTTAAATAAAACCAGGTACAAAGTTATACGTATTAATGTAAATTATTGTTATAACCTGTAAGAATAAAATAAAACATGTACAAAATTTCATAGTTTTATTGAATAGTTACATAACTACTCCGTTATTACTAAACCATCATCAGAACACTACAGCAAGGTCTTGTTCAGTAAATTTCTAAATGTCGGTTTTTTGGGCTTATTTCCAGATTTGGCGCTGATCTTATAAGGTCCAGTTCGACATCAGTCATCTTAAATATGGTCTTCCGCATGATATTCCCTCTAGATGACTTTTCACCAGACGCTTGCTTCCTTCAGTGATAACATGTATTACCAGCTCATTGAACGTCGCCACCAAAGGGCTCGGAGCCTACCCTGACTTAGGGTGACTAGGCCATAATCAACCACCCTGTCCAAGTGCGGGTTAGTGGAATTCACACATATCTTTGAATTTCTTCGCCGATATGTGAAAGATGCATCACGATGCTTTCCTAAGTGGTAACATAGCCTTGTCAAACTAGGTTACAATTTGTTTAAAAACTTTACTAGGTTACAATATGTTTAAAACCACGTAAAAATTTCAAATAATGAAGGTTTTATCAGGACATCTGATGAGAGTAGATTCAACGCTTAAAATCTTAGTCTGTGACTAATTCTCTCACCAGATACTAATATTATAAACGCCAAAGTTTAAATGGATGTTTGTCACAGTTTGTAGCCTAAACGGATTTCGATGAAATTTGGTATAGATGTAGAGGATAATTTGGAAGAACACATAGGCTACTCAGTTTCGCTTTTTTAATTTCATCCAGACGAAGTCGCGGGAGAAAACTAGTAATTAATAAATAGCACTAATTCAATTGGTTAAATTAATATTTCATATACGCTAACATATTGTGGAATATTGAAAACGAAGTTAACAAAGCTCTATGAAAAATCGAATATAAAACCAAGGAAACTAAACAGTGCAAATGTGGTCCAATTTAAAATTATTTGAAACTAAAATTGTTTTACATATAAATTAAACTAATTTACAATTTAAATGTATGAAAAATACATATTTATAATAACTAATCATATTACAAAGTTTAGTTTCGATCAAGCAACCGATAAATCGTTTCCTTCAATTCGTTTAGGCAGCGCCGTGTAATTCGATGTCGGAGTTTAGGGGTGGTATAGGGTGCGCGCCACTTTTTATTATTTATGTTCCACGGCCCGAGGCCTGATTCGGCAATTAATATAGGAGAAACCGTACAGAATTGACAAGCTAAAACGATTACAGAACACCTTTTTCAATTATTGCTGTAGATTTGACGTACGAAAATATTAATACGCAACTATGGCTACGGACATTTTTAACGAAATATACGTTAATTTTTTATCTATTAATGTAAAATAAAAAACGACCAAGATCCACAGATACGGCACATCTCTATTTCTTATTTATAATATTAAAATTAGGAAAGTTTAGATAGATCAATTACAGGTAATGAAAAAAGTGACAATCTTTGACCGAAGAAAGGAAACCTATCTATACTCATATTATTATTAGTTAGGTTTATATAAAGAGGAAAACTTTGTATTTTTGTATTTTTGTATGTATTGAAATAACTCAAAAACCACTGGCCCGATTCTAAAAATTCTTTCACTATCAGAAATGTAATTTATCTGTGAGTAACATAGGCTATATTTTATTATTACTAATGTTTAGGAACTATTAATAAACAGTGTGTTTCTGGACGCCGGCGTCAAAAAATTACTAAACTTTTTTCGGCTTACGCTGCCTAAACCGTTACGAGGTATATAAAAATGTTGTATGAAAGAAATGTAGATCTCAAAAAGTTCTACAGAAAAGTCCTCGATAGCATATATCTATCTTTAACGGTTTTCTTACAATATTTTTTTTTATAAATTCCATGTTTTAATTGTTAATTTTCAATACAACAACTATTTACATATTCGTATATGGATTACAAGATATTTGCGTATCTTCAAAGAATTTATTTTAGTTCTCGGTAAAGTCAACAGGTATTTAAAACTCGAGTAAATGTACAGAAAAGCAATAATTTTAGCTCAGCATGTCTGCACTATAAATACGGTCATTAATGTTTAAAATGCGCTGCAAACTAGATCGCACTGTTATTAGTTTGTCGCGGAGTTGGTTTAAGTAGGGTTGTCAAATCTAAAAAAGATATTCATGCAAAATTAATTTAATTTTTCTAACATGTCTACTCAGAGTTGATGTTTCCCTTTTTATTTAGTTAAAGAAAGTACTTCATTGATTGTCTGTCTGTATTCTAATAAAATTAAAGAATAGAAACTAGGTCGGTCACGCCATACTTTTATTAGGGCAAGTAGGAAATAAACATTTTTTTTTCTAAAACGGACGATCGGAGTTGAAACGGAAACGTTTTTGTTAATTTATATAAATTAGACTTTCACAGAGAATAGCGCCGACGCAGTTTGTTCGAGCATTTGATCGAATTAAAATTAGGGTGACAACCCTATATGTAATTTAGAGGATATTTTGTAATCACTTTAGGACTATGGACTCGCTTACAGAATATGTAAAGTATTCACTTATTCACTCATCTATACTAATGTTATAATAGGAAAAGATATGTATTTCTGTATGTATTTGATTTATATAAAAAATCACCAATAGAAGGGTAATGTATCTATGAGTATGAGTAACACAAGCTACATATTTAAATCTTTTTTAATTCCACGTAGACGAAATCGCGAGCAACAGCTAGTCTTACATAAATAAAATTATCGAAAATCAATTTATTTATTTCTTATCTGTAGAAGATGCAAACATGGCTGGCTGCATCAGGCCCAATAATAACATATCTGTCAAAAAACATCAACAACAAAACATTGTGTACGACAGAGAATATTAGAAGTTAAACAATACAAGTTAAACAAGCAACAGATGTGAGCTGCAAAATGGTAAAACCCACTCATTGTTAACTGTCCGAACTTTTCTTTAACGATTGGCGATAGTTCGGTTTAAGAGCTCGGTTCTCACGGACACGCGCTGTCTTCGTAGTTACAAAAACCTCCGCACAGCACTCGGTAGCCAGTAGCCACGTATTAATCAGTTGCGAGCGTTGACGTAAAGCAGAGGCGACCCGCCGCGGACGCAAGTACAGGCGGGAGTAAAAGTGCTAGATGAAAAAGGTAATAAATAAGTTGTAGTTTATTATTATTTTTTATAGTACTGCATTTTAAAGGTGGTTTTTGCATAGATAGAATAACATCTGACATTGTTTGGAATCTTAGAAGTTAGTATCGGAAACACAGATCAATAATGTTACCTGAAAATAAATCTTACTAATATTATAAATGCGAAAGTTTAGATGGATGGATGGATGGATGGATGGATGGATGTTTGTTAGCGTTTGTAGCCTGAACGGCTGAACGGATCTCTATGAAATTTGGCACAGGTTTAGAGCATAGTCTGGAAGAACACATAGGCTACTTTTTATCCCGGGAATAGTTACGGTTCCCGTGGGATTCATTAATCTAGTTTTTTAATGTTTACTCGATTATTCTGCAACGGTTCAACATATCGTATTGAAATTTGGCACAGATATAAAACAAAGTCTGGAGAACGCATAGGATAAGTTTCATCCCCGAGAAATGTCTGGTTCCCAAGGGATACGTAAATTTTGTAATTTATATAGTTTGTATGTTTTCTAATACCACGCGGACGAAGTCGCGGGCAACAGCTCGTAGATAATATATTAGCTGTAGCTTATTGGTTAGTAATAATTATTTGTTGTAATTGAGACTATTTTTGTAATGTAATTGTAAGGGCCTGTCTCACCAAATTGAAAATTGTTTCACAACAATCTAACATGTGAAATGTGTGATGGAAATATCGGATTTTGTTACCATATCTGACAGTGACGTCATATTTAAGCTATCTGAGCCTCTATCAGGTGACCTTAGCATTTTTGGTGGTCATACTATATGTGACTGTGATAAATTAAACTAGTTATCTTCTAGTGCAACAACGTAAAGGGTTTTCTTACGCGAGTGTACTTCTATCTCCAGCGCGTCGTGTCGATGTCGCGTCCGTGCGTGTCGGATCCACTCAGCGTCGAATTCACGGCAAGTCAAATGTTTAATTTGCTCTATAAATCACGCTATTAAAAACATTTCAAGGATGTCATCGCGGGACGGATCTCATTGGAGACGTGACGGCGCGCTGTGTGGTCGGCTGGAGCTGTCGACTCAGGTATTGGTATTACGCCGCGTTATTAGTACACGTATTATATAATGCGAGAACACCCGGCCGGCTACAGATCAAATTTAATTTGAAGTGAAGAAATTGAATTAGCCGTTGACGTGAGCCGGTACCTCGCTCTCTGTTGTACCGTTATGAAGATGAATAATACATCGATCTCGCGCTAGCTTTTGGATTATGATAATTTTATTGTTTTGTTGTGATTTTTGAATTGAATATCGGCCGTGATTTTAATCTGAAGCTATGACGATTACTTTTGATACTA